GACAATCATGGCAAGTCAGAAACAGCGAACGAAAGAACTGCCCGTTAATAACTTTTTACAACTGGACTCTCACGAATGCCAGCAGCAAAGACAAAGGACTCGTGCCTTCCATCTCCATTCTCATTCTCCCGCGCTCTGCCTGCTAATGCCTTCGGGAGTATGTAGCTACTCTTCCCACTCGTTGTGGACTCGACAGTCTTGCGAAACCCTTGCCGCAGGGAGTCGGCCCATACGTTAAAGATACGTCAGCAACGCACAAAACTGAACCAGATTAATCTTAAATGCAATACCCGTGATTTTGCCGCCCAAAACCCTGAACCCGGTTAAAGGAGGGTCTCGAAGGCCTTGCGACGAAGCCTGGCTAAGATGTGCGCATCGAACCTGCAGCCGTGCCACAGAGTTCTCTGCGCAGAGCCCGAAGAGCATGTAGCGCGTGTCCGGCCGGAGGCCCAGCAATGTGGCTTGGATGATGCCTCGACCCCGGTCCTGCAACTGCGGCGCACGGCAGTGTGGGAATGAGCAAATCCTTATAAACAAACAAACGGCCTGAGGGTTTATATCCTGAAGGTCGCCTGTCCTCCCGCAAGGCTTCAGGAAGCCATTGGCCTGAGTTGCTGGGTACCAGCCACATTGCAGCACATGTCTGGCTAGGACCTCCCGACATGGCATGAAGCAGCCCAGGTACATGGTCTTTCCTTCACAGCGTCCGGGTTGAGGTTGTGTTTTTGTGCTCGTTTCCTGCTCCGATGAGGCTTATCAGACCTGGGGCTGCTCCCGTCGCTGCCCTCGTCGTTTCCATCGTCGACAGTTGTATCCACCACTCGCAGGGTGGCGATGTATCTCTGAATCTGCTCTGTGTGGATCTGATAGGCATCCTTGGTTGCCTCGTTTCCAATCTTGCCCGGCCTTGACCACTCGAGCTCCACTTGGGCCGTTCCGATGGATGCGCATGTCAAGCCTGCAGGAGCAGGGCAGTAAGCATTGATGCGGCAGTGCGCCACACAATCTCGACTGCTGCCGGCCACATTCTCGGCCCGCACGCGGAATTCGTACTCGGTGTCTGGTATCAAGTCTTGCAGCTCATGCTCTGTGACCTCCGGCTTCAGGACAACTGTCTCCTCGGAGGTCGAAGTCTTCACCAAGACTCTGACGTGATCAGCCTGTGCTTCCTTCGGTAAGTCAAGGAGATCCAAAGCGTTCCAGCGAAGCGTCACGTTGCGGCCTTCGCATCTTAGCTGCAATGACTCCAGAGGTGGAGGTGGCATCTGATTCCACACCGTCATTTTCACGGGCTCGCCGATGCATCCAATAATTCGTTGCTTCGAAGAACAGAAAAGCCGCAATTCAAAGACTTGGCTTTTTGGCATCTTGCCACTTCCGCCTCTCTGGGAACGGCTGAAAGAAGGCATCGACATCTCGACGTGGCCCAACATCTGAGGCTGGCCATCTGAACTCTTGGGCAAGTCCGCACGCAAGTTAGGATCCACATTGTTGAAGGCCTGGTGGCCCAAATAGAAGCCACCCCCTCCAGCTGCGCAGTAGCTTAGTCCTGGTGGAACCAAAGCAATGAAAGGAGTGTCGCCCAAGACTTTGCGTGGGACTGGCCAGGGCACGGGCTCCCTCTCATCCTTGAGAACCGTATGGCCAGACCCATAATAGCTACATGGCCCTTGCAAGCGATATCGCACGACACACGTCTGCCCGGCCACGAGGCGGCAAGAGGCTGTGGTCACAACGTCCCCGATGCTCGGGAATAAGGACTTGTGAACGCTGACCTCACATCTGACTTTTGCTGCAAAGAAGAATGCAAGTCCACAATCAAATCTAGAACCTTGTGATCCCACGACTTCATGTGCGACGGCACTGTGAAGTCGTGTCAGCCATGCAACGGGAACCTACTGCCCCTGGCACTGGGAGCTTTTGAGCGACAAGGAGCCATCTGGCCACGCCGGAGTTCGCCGCTGTGATTTGATCTCCATACCGCAATCTGATCTGCATGGTGCCTGAACATTGCCGGCGGCAAGGGGGTTCTGTCGTGAGCCTTCCCTCCGTTTCCCTCCTAACTAGTGGTGGAGGTGGTGGGCTGTAGCAGTAGCAGCCGTAGCAGCTCTGAAGCATACTCCATGTCGGTCATGTCCCATAACAGTTGGACCATCTCTGAAACGAGGAAGGGCTTGGGGGCTTCCTAGGAGGGAGGGAGGGAGGGAGGCACGGGTGCCACCGCAAGTACAGCAACGCCTCTGAGTCTGCTCGGCCTGCTGCTAGCCAGCTGCTAGCGTTGCAAGCGCAGTTAGGAAACTGGTGAACTAGTGTCCAAACTCCGAACCTTTGCCAGCTAACGCTGCATGCAAGTCTTATCCGAGGCGCTGGTACATCGCAAAGCAATGCTCCCGGAACTTGGAAGCGCTCTGTGCAGAGACACTGCCTCGCAGGCAGGGATCGCTCCATGTTGGGTCTTGCGTGAACCAAAACGGAAGGAGGGAGACACCTCAAAGACCTGAAAAAAAGTACAAGTAGCATGAGACCCGACCAAGAAGCCAACAAGGGAGCTGCCGTACATGTCCCACAGGTGGGCGAAGCGCCGCTCCAGTTCCGGCACTTCTGGGACTTCTCCCTGCACGAAAGCCTGTCAACACACTGCAATCGAAGCTCCTCTCTATCAGCAGCCTGCTTCTTTTGACTGGTCCCTGACTGGTCTCGCCTCTGAAGGCAGCACTGCAGCGTCCTTCTGACGGCTCCGCTCCACGGTCAACCTGCATTCCAGTTACATCCCGACGAGGGCTGAGCCACGAAAGAGGGTGTGAAGTTGTGAACGCTAACCGCTAGGCCGCTAGGCCCAGAAGCCTCCGAGCCCTTGGGCCGAGGCACATTCGGCATGCGAGCGCATCGTACAAAGCTGGGATGGTATGCACCTCCACACCCCACTGGATGTCCAGTGGTGGTTGACGCAGCATTTGCGACAGACTCTCAGTGCCTCGGATCGGACTAGAGAACGGATGGAAGGTGCAGCGACTCCGGTCCCATCCGCTTAACTGCTTAAACCCTCTCTCTTAGTCTTGCTGTGAGGCTGCCGATCTCCCGGCTCGCCCGGGAGCTATTGATGGCTCGGTAGAGGCGTGCCACATCCTCCGGCGGAGGGCTGACCTTCTCCACCGTACCTTGCCGCATTGCTTGCCGCTTTCACAGACCGGACGCCACACATCAGCCTAAACCAATGAGCAAAGGTGCAAAGGTGCTCAAACAAGGAGGCCGGCTCCTTCAGTCCGCTGCTGATGGCGCTGCGGCCCAGTCCGTGCTTGAGCTCCAGCTGGCTGCCCTTAGTCGCCAGAAGCCTACTTAGCAACTTCAGGGCTGCTCACGTGGTTGATGCTGTTCTGCTCTGCATTCGGATTTCGTTGGCCCTGCCGATCAAGCCAGAACTGCCCAAGACAAGCCAGGAGGCTAGTTCCAAAAGGCTCGGTCTGGGTGGTGCAACGAGAGAAAGCTGTCTTTGACACTCCTGGCAACAAGGCTCAGCTGTGCCCTTCCATCTTCAACATGCGTGTGATGGTTGACAAGCATCTGCCAACGTTCGTGGGTAAAGCGCCCAAGCCTGCAAGTCCACCTTTCCGTCTCCATCTTCGTCGAGAGATGCAAGCACCTTGCTCACCGGACGACTTTCTGAGAGGTGGCCACATATCCGTATTCGAGACAGTCAGTCGGTCCTGCTTCCTACAGTGTGTACCGCTTCGTGCCAAACTGGTGCTGTCCTCGCACTCTGTCAGTGCAGCGCCATAATGCAGCTTGGAAGCCTCTTCCACCGTCACGTCACGCAGGCCAGGGCCACCACGGAAAAAATGATAAATCTCGTTGGAATCGATGTATTTCACTTTGGGGGTAAGGAAATACGTTTGAATGAATGTTCCTATGGTTGCAGTATCTCTCTCGATAAGCTGGCGAAACTTTGTCAGAATGCTCCATCTCTTCACGAGCTCGTCCATCACACGACCAAGTTGAAGCACTGATCCGGACGTCAGCCGGCAGATTTGCCTGGGTCTTTGCTTTCCGTGGAGGCCTAAAGCTGACCAAACAAGCTTTTTTCCGAAGTGACACACAAGCACAACATCTTCTTTCGGAGAACCCAGATGCTGATGGATCAACAAGGCCTCGAACAAGTCCTCTGCATCTTGTGTAGTTGCGATAGCCTGCTCTTCGTTTCGGTGATGTGGCCCGACGCCTTCGGAGAAAAGGCTTTCGGCCATTAAGCTCTTCTTCATCAGCCCCACAAACTCCTCCTTGTTGGCCTCGTTCGGAAATTGTGACATGGGATGGTCAGGATTGCGGAAAAGCAGATGATGCTCACCGCCTGCTGCACCTTTGGCTGTGCTAATTTGCTGCATATTCCAGGAGAATACTGAAGCCTGGTCATCAAATTTCTTGGGAGACGGTCTCGCAGCCAGACCTTTCAAAAGACCCAGGGCACCTGACTTGCTTCGCAAGTTAATGGAGCGACTGGCAGTGCTCAAACTCTCGTCCGGCTGGTTGTCTCCATCATTCGTGTCGACCTCGTCAGTAGATCCTGCCACAACCGTTCCTGTCTGCATTAACCATATCCGGACACCAGCAGCCTCGTCGAAATCTGCTTGCCAGAATCCGACACCATGTCTTTCTGCTAATGGTCCATCACATCCGACAAGTAGGTCAGATGTCAGAACACTGTAAAGTTCGCGCTTTGTCTCCAAGTCCAGGTTTTGAACCTGCAGTACCCGGCGAGCACGGCGCCATTCAGCGCAAAAGTGTGTCAAACATGTTGGCATTTAAGCTAGCTGAGCCAGCACCGACCCAGAATTAGGGTCTGTAAATGGCTGCAGTTGCGCGAGCAAGGTTTCGAGAACACACGCAATGCTGACTACATTACTTCATTCTCACCTTGCTAGGCCATCCAGGGGCTGTGTCGCGGCAGTCCGGTTCATGAGAAGTTTGTGCTAAAAACGCAGCATAGTCCAGTGCAAAGTGCCCGCCTGGTCAAGCGTGGCCGTGCACGAGCTGAAGTCGGGCACCTGAAGCCTCTTGGAACCAGGCGTATTTGGCAACGCGGGCCGTTCAGCAGCTGGTGGGGCACCCACCCCGGCCATTGGCCCTTCCGCAAAGGCAACCGATCGGCCGCGGCCATTCTGTCGCCTACTCACCGTGATGGCGGTCGCCAATGCTGCGGCCGCCCTCGCTGGACCAACGGAGCTCCGGCTCCGCTGTGCAGGCTGGGAGTGCGGGAAGACACGGTAGGCACGGCGCCCAGCAGGGGCGCTTTGTGGGCCGAGCCATGAGGATGGCTGTGCTTGCAAACAGGCAGCGGCCATGAATAGCAAGCGCACACCTTGACCCAAACAACAACATGATTGACTGAAGCTGGACTCAGGACAGTTCTGGCTGCTGTAGCTCTATACTTTCCCAGCATGCCCATAGCTGTTTCCACATGTGGGGCGTGTCTGATCTCCTCTCGCGATGCGTAGGCCGCAGGCAGCTGCGGCTCGCGAGACTGCGCGAGGCACGGGTGAGTTGCTGAATCGCAAGGTTGAAATTTCTAGGGCAAGAAATCCTTTTTGCGAGGCACGCGCAGCTTTGATGCAGGTGTTTTGAATAGCAAAACACACATGTCATGTGCAAGATTGCCAGGAGTTCATGTTTCTGCTTGTAAAACTGTCACCATGAGTGATCATAAGAATGTCTAACTGCATCTGCAATGTCGCATACTACCGGCAGCAAGGACAGGATCCTGACAATCCTGACAGCACTGCCATCAAGGCGCTCGAAAATTCTCTGATCTGTACAGCTTCCACCTGCACATCCTGAGGATGCGTGGAAGCGTAGAGGCATCTCGTGTATGCATGGTGTGGCTGGCTGCCGGGTGTCTATGCTCTTCTGCTTTGAAAGGCTAACTATCAGCTACAAAGCTGATGGACTTCAGAATCCAAAGAGTGCGTGGGACTGCAAAGCACAGCTCACTTCATCACGGAGTCTGCAAAATCCACTTGAAGGAGTACCTGCACTTGTGGCCCAGGGCACAGAGAAGCTGCACGGTGATGCCGAGGAGCTGGCTCTTTGGGAGGCCTGGCCAAGGGTGGAACAGGCAAAGGCAGACATAACTGCGGCGTTGCTAAGCAAGGCTTTGGAGAGCTCTCCGTTCGGAACTCAGCCCTAATCCGGCCTATATCTGCCTGGAACACTCCGCATGACAGCAGCAGGACCCAAACAACGGTGCAGCTTAAATAGTGACGTTGCCCGAGGGCCCAACAGACTGTCAAGACCAGGCTGCAGGAAGCAGACTACGAGTACAAGCCCACCCTCTAGATCAGATTGAAATTGTTTCCTGTTGTTGTTCGACGGCTTTGCACTAGACCTGCCATGTTTGTTGACAGTTTCTTGCTCGTGGGGGCGTCGGTGGTCCTGTATATGGCCACCCTTGCACGAATTTGGCTCCGCAGGCCGCAAGCCAGAAGAGCTCATGCCGGGCGTTGAATTTGCTCCAAGCTGTACATCACCTCCTGGAGGCCTGATCGTAGCTGAGCATTGTCCGCAGTGATGGCACCAAGCTCGCACCTTAAGGGATGCAAGGCATGGACAAACTGCCTCGGTGATGCTGATAAGGTGCTAGTGAGCAGATATTGATTCATCAACCCCCGCCAACTTTTACGGCAGCCCGCTCCGGAAATCAACTTGGCATCATTAGAAATGGCATGACCCTCCAAAGGCTGAAATGGGCTGAATATTGACACATTCTCGGAAAAGCACTTGGGGGGGAGCCCCAGGAATCGATGGATTTGGGTACCCTCCCCAAGCGCTTTTTTAAGGTACGGGTGATGATTCATCGATCCATGCAGACGCTATCATTGCCATTTTGCAAAACTTTTTCCTTTATCAGCAAAAGGATCGCGAACGTCTGCTAATGCTTGCTTTGCAGCCGCAGCTTCTCCAGCTCGACACTAGCAACATGCAGCGCCTCTGCGCCTTCGCGTCTTTCGTCTGCGAGAGCTGTCATGTCTGCCTTGTTTGCGGGACGAATTCTCGACGCAAAGCTGTGCACCAAAGCATGGCCGAGTTGGGGATACTTTCCTGCTCTTGTGGCATATGGCCGTGTTGCTAAGTCTTATTCTCAAGAGTACGAGTACACCCCTCCATTGCCGCCAATGCTCCCGGCGTATGCATGGCCTAATGCACGAGTACGCTTGTGCAAATTCTGCATGTAAGGGGGTCGTGCAAGACTTGTGGACACCTGCTTCGCTTCCAACTTTTGCCTTCTGGCTTCTCTTCTCGAGATGTCTCGAGTCCGTTTTCGCACCCAGCAACCGCGGCGCAAATTTGGTCGAAGGGGTGCTTCGTCCTCGCCTCTGTCCCTGGGGCAGGGCAATGTCCTCCCAACACAAACGAGGTCACACCATCTCGAGATATCGCCCAGAGCGGGTCCCGACTGTTCGGGATTAAATTCAACTCTGTGACAAAAACCGATGCCGGTCCATGGCTGGTGCACACGAAACGCAAATAAATAATGAATCTCACCCTCCACCCACAGGAACGACTGGCACTTGGTTTCGCTTCATCTTGTGGTGTTGTTAGTTCATGTTAGTTCATCCTCGACTATTGACTATTGTCTACCCCATGGCACTTGGTGCATGTCAATGTACCATGTCGTCTTTGCAGACATCAGCCTGCATCAGCACGCTGCAGATGAGAAATGCGCACCGGGCGCACTGTTACAAGATGTTGCACGCATTCACATGTGCGCGCGCACACACACACACACACACCCACACACACACACAGACCTGCGTGGTTGCGCGCACCTGAACAGCTTTCACACGCACAAACACGCGCCTTCAGTTCGGCAACACGGCCCGCATCCGGCATGGCCGTCTGACGCGGGGTCCGCCTCTGAGCTTGCGCAGTTGCCAGATCACTCTCTGCGGCTCTGAGCGCTTGCTGCGCCGCTCTGCAAAGCTGCCGCTGCTCGGCGACTTGCTCTCGCAGCTGCCGGCTCCGCTCAACACTGGCCAAGCGATCGAAAGTGTCTCTTTCTCTTCCTTGCTCTAGCTCTTGCTCCAGAGAGGCCACCTGGGCAGATGCATTGGTCAGCTCTTGCTTGAGCTTTCGCTGCTCCGCCAACCATGCTTCCCGGGCAGCCACGTGCTGTGCGTCAGCCTGGCGGCTACTTCGAAGCCGCTCTGGAGCCGCCCGGAATGAGTCGAGTTCTCCCTCAAGTCGCCCGCGCTGCTCTTGGCAGTGCCTCGGCCAGGACACACCCTTCTAGGAGAGCCGCAGCTGCGACGGTCTATGCTGACTCGTCAGCATGTGCGATGCTAGATGCGGGTGCAGCACTAAGCGAACGAGGTTCTGCAGCAGCCTTCACAAGTTCAGTACTCCTTTAGAACATAGACTAGCAACTTGATCGACATGTGGGCCCAGTAAGTCAACCACACCGCTCCAGGTCATGCCTTTCGCCTTGAACTTTTGAAGTGTGTTTCATCTGTTGGCACATTGGAGGTGCTGACTATGGATGCTCGATGGCACGTTTTGAGGCGAGACAAACCGATAAGCCAGGCGGCAAGAAGCCTCGACTTGCGAAGTAGTTTTTGAACAGATTAAACCAAAGCCAAACAAAGTCGGCGACCCACTGCTGCAGTCAAGCTGCTGCAGCTCTGCAAGCGTCAGGTCCTCTATACAACTCCTAGAGTAGGACTGAAGGTCAAGACTCGCCTGTTCAATATTCCTCTTCGCCCTGAGCTTGCTGCAATCCTGCTCCAATCGTCCCAATTCCATGCGCTGCTGGCTTGCCAAGTCTTTCAGCTTGTCTTTCTGGATTTGTATGATCCCGATACGGCGATGGAGGCCCATGCAGCCTAAAGGTGGGCCGTGACTTTGCCGGCAGGGAGAGTCTGAAAATCGCCGTGCTCGTGCAGCACTCTGCCTGGGACGGGATCGAGGCATGGATGAAGCCTGAACTTCAGCTTGTGCTGTAACGTGCTTTCGGCCAGATCATGCACAGTGCTCCTGTGATGATTCGAGTGCGCTTTGTCACTCGACTTACCTCCGCCCAGCCCACGTGCGGCTTGATGCGGGAGACCGAGCAACACCGCCGCCAGAAACGATGCCGACTCACATCCAGTAAATGCACTCCACGCACAACTTGAGACAACGTCCACCGTGCAGGGCAAACTCGAGCCAGCAAGTTATGGGCAAGCACGCGGACGAATCTGCAACACACTTAGAAACGAGCAATTGCACCGCTGCGAGGCTGCAAGTATGCGATGCGAGAGAAATGGTCGTCATCCAGCCTTCTCAGGTGAGCGATGTAAAGCTCCAGGATGTGTTGGGGTGAATCCTGGCAACAGCGCAGCAAGCCTGCTCCCAGCTGGGAGTTAGTTAGGTGAGGTACGCTATCACATCCGGCCAGCTTGTCCTGTCTGCGATCGGTCTGTGTATGTAGCGCTACAGTAGCACAGCTTTGAGACTGGCGCAAATTTTCGCAAGTCTGCTACAAAGTCCCCGTACCTCGGTTCCGCATCCGGGCCTTCCGCTGCATCAGAGTCCCATGTACTGCCTTTCAGCAGCACTGCCTGAGTAAACTACTCACAAAGATGACCAACCAAAAGGCTGTGCATCACTAAGGGCCCGGGAGCATGGAGAAGCTCAAACCTCTTGGTGAATCTTGGCGAACGTTTCGTCCGATTTCCTGGGCCTCCACGCCCATCCTGTCGGCGTCTGCACCAGGGCCCGCTTCCAACCTGCGCTTCGAAGCGCGAGGTTGCGGTTGCAGCCAAATGTCATCATCATCATCATCATCACAGCCCCCGTTTTTCTGCGCATCGCAAGAGGCGGTGGCACACTGCACGCCGAGCCCTAACCCGCCAGCTGCGAAAGCTTCTGCCCGACATTCGGCCGGCGCTTCACTGCTCACTGCTGTCCGACTCCGACTCGAAGCGCTCCCTGTTCCCTGAGCCTCAGGTTCGGTCATGTGGTGGATTGTGGCGGCATCAGTCCGTCTGGTTGAGGTGCTGCCGTCGCCTGTCCTCAAGAAGGACGAGCAAGAAGATGGTAACGTCTGCTTGTACATGCAGTAAGAACACCAGCGCCATTCCACCACTCCAGATGCGTAGGATGTCCAGGAAAAGGCTCCAGATAAGAACTAGCACAAAGCCACTCAGGCCTCGAGGGAAGCCTCCCAGGTAGTGCAGTAAAGCGAAGAATGTGGAATGCAAGGCGACAGAGATCGTCGTGAGAAGCTTCGAGTCGGTGGCATCGCCTGCCAGCACCGCTCCCAGAAACATCATTCGGAATTGAAGTTCCTCCTCAGCTCTGGCACTGTAAAACACACAACAAGAACGAGACAGGCAAACTAACGGTCCGCCTACAGCACTGTAGCACTGACTGGAGAAAGCGCAGGCTCGCGAAAGGCATTGACCACCGCCAGGGGAAGCACGGACGCGGGGGACATCAGTGGCGCCAAAGCATCCTGTATGGGACCGTGGTTGCCGCGCACCCAGATTTTGGACCAGCCCACCAGGGCGACAGTGGAGATTGCTGCGCAAATTGCAGACCAAAGCAGGGGTGCGCCATCCATGCGTCCCAATGTAAGCCCGGCCTCTGCCCGCATGTCGCTGGACCCAAGCGTGGCAATCATGCCAAGCACGAGCAAGGACCACCACGGAATGAAGTCGCCCAGCGGTAGCTCCAGCGACGGCAAAGTCATGTGAGCCAAGGACAAAAGCGATGCACATGGCAGCCATGGCAGTTGCACTGCAGCATCTTTCGTCAGCTTCACGAAGAAGCTCAGGCCGCTTAAAGCGGTCATGAGCTGAAGCAGCTTTGCAGGCCATGGTGTTTTGACCACTTTCTCTTGGTCGCCTGCCCGGTCACAGAGCTGCCACGCGCAGCTTGCTGGCCACGCGATCAGCAGAAGCTTCTGCTCAATGGAGAGCGGACGAGACGCTGGCGAGGCCGCCAAGACTGCAGAACAAAGGACGCACCATGCCCAGGGCCTGGGGGGGTGCCCGTCACGCTTGGCCCTTCCCATTGCCCAGTGAGAACCGCCCCCCGGCTTTTTCTGTTCTTTGCGGTCCGGGTAAAGGCTTCTTAGATTCTGGCATGTCAAGACGGAATTTGCACCTGGTACCTTTGTTTGACTGGGTGAGCCGAAGATATTTGTAAGCAGACTTAGACTCCGAGTGTAGCTCTGTGGCTCCTAGTGGCAGCGACCTGCCGGGATCCAGGATCGGGCCGATGACGAGACAATGAGGTTGTTCCATTCCTGCAGAACTGGAGAAGCAGACTGAGTGCACACATGTCACCTGAGGTGTCAGCCGTCAGCGGCTGGTCGCCAGTCACCCGAAAATCCCACGGCTTTTCATCCGTCATCCCTCTTCAGCAGCCTCTGAAGACATCGACCCCTGTCCTCAGCAATCAGACAAAGCGCCCGATTTCTGCGACATGCAATGTAGGCCATGTAGGCTTCAGTCTTAAGCGACGCACGCTCTATCGGCATCGACTCGAGCATGGCGAAAGCTTCGCGGTCAGCCTAGCAAGCCCAGGCGGTGCAACTTCTGCCGAAGTCCACAAAGCCAGCCAGGATCACCCGGCTCTCAGGGAGAACCTGCGTTCCAGCCTTGGCCCAGACTGGGAGAAGCGATCGAAGTGCAATGGCAGAGGCACCCGGTACGGTATGTGTATGATGAGTTCCTGTCTGCTTTGCTGTCACTCTTTTTGCTCGCCTGCAGGTGCAAATGGTGTCAGTCCACAGGCCGTGCGTCAACCTCGTGCTTAAGGATGACGGGGGTCGCTGTTGGCTTCTGCTTCCTTTTTGAGCTCTTCGAGCCCTTGCCGCGGCTGTTGCCGTCCTCTGCTGCCCCCATCCACCAATACGTCGATTCAACGCCAGGCTCAGCACCGCCCAGCTGCAGCCCTATGCTGCTCAGCATGGTAAGCCATAATATCGCAGCCAAGACCAGAAGTGGTGGCATGAGTGCGCTCGTCGCATCTTCTGCGTTGCATGAGAGCGGCGCGGCAACTATCAGAGATGCCGGCGCAGTGAGGCAAAGTCTTTGCCTAGGCCTAGGCCAGTTGCGCGCTGCGGCCACGAGTGCTGCAGGCGCAGGCGCCTCTGGAAGCTCTGGCGCAGCAGAAGGAGTTCTCCTCGCTCGAAACCGCGGGCCCGGGCCTGCGAGGCCGACCGCCGGGCGGCCCTTCGCCATCCCTTCGATTCAAGGGCCGAGGTTGGCCTAGGCCTAACAACGCTGAGGCTGCAACAGTGCTGCAGTGCTTGCGGATGCTTGCGGCTTGCGGATTTGGATGCGATCTGGTAAACCTACGACCTACGACTTGCAGACTAAGCTTGATGCCATCCTTCGATGCGGAGTCTGCATTTGGGCCCACGCGCCGGCAGCTTCGGTGTCCACCCTGCAACCTCTTCCAGGCCCTGGGCGCGTTGTCTCACGATTAGACATAAACAGCTGAGAGTCTTGCAGGGCTTACACACTACCCTTCACTCAGACTTTCACAGATCAAGGTGATGTTTTCCCGTCCTGCTGCCTGCTGTTGCTTTGACGAGCGAGGGACGACGGCGAGCTTGCGACTGCAAGCCCGTTTGTCTCTGTCACTGAGTTTGACAAGTGCTGGCTGTTGTGTCCACTCGAAGGCGCCAATCTCTTGACAAGAAGTGACCGTCACATGGCAAAAACGTAGCATCCAACAGCTGGTTTCTAAAGGCATCTGCATTCACGCCAGGCCCAGGGACGATGAGGTGCACCCTCTCAGAGCTTCGAGGCTCGGGCAAGGAATGCTTAATGGCCAACACTCGGCTTGGCCTTTCCTCTTGCTTCAAGTACTCGCACCTCGTGAAACGCTGACACGTGCTCACGGATGGTGTGGAGATGTCAGAAGTGGAATCAACACCCAGTTGGACATGCAATTCCACCAGAAGCCTGTCAGCAACGCTTCTGGTGATGTCCGCAGTTTTGCTAAGCACGAAGGTGAAGTTCAAGGCATTCTGGCAGATGCCCAGCAGTCTTAAAAGCATGCACATCCCATCCGTGAGTGGCACCGCATCAATGGCAACTAGAACGCGGTCCACGTTCAACACGTCTTCGAGCATATGCGATTTCAGGATCGCCGCATTCTCCAAGCATGCTTCGGCACTGCCAATCATCTGAATCACTTGCACGGAACGCTTGCGGCCACCAATTTCGCCCAGCCCCAGCGTTACCTGAAGCTTCAGGGGTACATTCTGGGCATTGTCAGTGCGGGACACACTCTTGCCAAAGAGTATGTCAATCAGCCTCGATGTCTCCGCCATGTCGCTTCCGACAGCTAGGACGGTGAAGAGATTCGGATCATGGCTTGCGTGGCAGTCCTGCCTCCGGTAGCTAAGGAACCCGTCCAAACCCTTGACGAGACAGCAGGAAGGTAGAGGTTCCAACTCCCACGGCCACTTGTTGAGTTTGAGCTGGTGTTGACCGGCAAGTTGAGCTAGGCACCTGCTCCACATTGTGCCTTCAACGGCGCTCTGTGCACTGAACCACTTGCCTTCCGCGATGAAGCGTGCCACATGCTCACAATTACGTAAACAGAAAGAAAATGCACGGGCGCCACATACCAACTCCATGCGATGTCGCACATCTTCGGCATTGCTGAATGTCTGCGCGACTTCGTAGTATTCAGGATGCTGGCTGCGTACATGGACAACGGCCTCGGCAACCTCATCTCCTCTAAACTCTATGGTCCACTTCCCGTCTGTTACAAAGTAGTGGTCATAGATCATTCCAAACAGGCTGAAGCGCTTGTAAGCCAGCATTAGCGTTTTGTCAAACTTTGCGATGTTGAGCGCTTCTCTCTGCTGCCGCTCTGCATCTATGCACAGGCTGTGTACCTTTCAATTCGTTTCACGTGATCGCACCCCAAACCAAGTGTATAAATTCCATGAGCCAAAAAAGAATGCCTACTAACTCGATCCTACAAGCTCGCCGCTGAGCCCTGGCTCGTCATGGAATTTACCACAACAAGAGGACTAAGCGGCCTTTGCACAGGCAGACTGCTCCTCTCTCAGCACGCGCCAGTAGTAGCTGAATGGGTTGAACAGAAGCGTGTCCATTGGAAAGAATCCGACGGTCCGCGCTTCCCTGACAGGGAACTGGCTGCACGCAGGTCATTGCAGGGCCATTGTCAACCAGCACTCCGACCCCTCATTGCGATTCGAAGTAAATAGCGTAGCTGCAGTACCGACACACTTTTGTCTTGCCACTATTCGGCCCCTGAGCCTGGGAGCACGGACTGCCAGGTCAACATCCAGAATCGAAAGACATGTGCTGATCGTAAACCGGCTTCTTTCGCTGGGGCTCGGACGCCAGCCAATGTGCAAACCTTAGAAGCTTTGGTCGATCAGTGGTCTCACAGAATCTCCAGAGCGCAGATCAAACAATCGAAACGCCTTCTACATCAGGGGTCCGGAAAAGGCGGATAGAGGTCTATGAGGCGAGATTGGGCAGGAGCTCACATGCAGCATCCTTCGAAGCTCAAGACGTCGTGTGCCTTCTGTAACTCCAGAGGCTGAACTCACATTCTGCGAGCAGCTCTGCAAGTTGGCAGCGTGATGCCTAGTCCGTGGCATCCATCTCAAGGACCCATTGGGACCATTCCCTCAACTGTTCTTTCTCAGCTGGAGTAACCCGTGCCTCATGTGCCTTCAAAGCCTTGCGGATTACTTCGCCACCAAGCGGAAGGCTTGAGCTTGACGACTGCAAAGCTGCACGCAGCAACTTCTCTTCGTCCGGCGAAAGGTCTGCGCTCAAGAACCATTCCAGCCACTGCTCCTTCACAAAGCTGTCATCCTCCTCAATTGCTGCCTGCTTGGCAGTCTGCTCGTCGGAGTCTGCCTGTTGCTGTTTTGGCTGCTGTTCCTGAGACCCCGGAGACTGCGAAGCTTCGACAGCGGATGGCTTCGTCACCTTTGCGTCTGCGCCGGTCGCTTGCGTATCGGTCTCGAGTGGGTGAGCAAGGGTCTGGGCATTCGCTTGTACTTGCGAGAGTTGCTGAGCTGGAGCTTCGCTTCTTTCTGTCTCGACGCCCGTGCCTTCCTCTTGCGGGGTCGACTTGGCCTTGCTCGGCTCTGTTGCGCCGGCGCTTGGTGGCTCGGCCGCTTTGGTGCCTGCCTCTGTTCCACTTGCTGCCCGTGAGCCTCCGCGCCTGTCAAGCTGGCCTTCCAGAGCCGTTGACGGATCTGCTGACACCGGCTGCGGTTGGCGATCTTGCGCCTGCGTCCGGGCCATCAGATTGGCCAAATATGATTTTTCAGGCGTAGGTGCTGTGTCTTGAGTGGCTGGCTCCGCCTTCTTTTCAGGCACTGGTGGTGTTCTGTCAGCTGATGCAGCTACCGGCGCAGCTTGCATGACTGGCGCCGCCTTCTTGTCAGGCAGTGTTCTGGCACTTGATGCAGTTTCGGGTTCAGCTTGCATGACTAGCTTCGCCTTCTTGTTAAGCTGGGCTCTGTCAGCTGATGCAGACTCCGGTGCAGCTTGCATGACTGGCTCTGCCTTCGGCTTCTGCTCATCCAGCTCTTCCCGGACTGGACTCACGGCCTCGTGTGGTGCTTGCTCGGGGTCGGCTTTGCCTTTGCCAGCGACAGCAGACAGACCAAGATCGCTGCAAGGTGCCTCGAAGGGCTTAGGCCCAACCGCTTTCGGAGGCAATTCAAGAGCTGCACGATTTCTTTTGATTGTGAACTGAAGCCAGACGTTTAACATCTGCCTGTGCAGCTCAGGCAGATGTGGAGAGGAAAGGGACTCCTGAAGCCCGAGCATTGTCACCGCACTTTCGTCGTCTCCGGCAATGGCCTTAAAGGCCTCCTCCAACGCCAGGACGTCTGCCTCCTTGTCCCGTGTCCTTCCACTAAGCCTTGGCCACATGCCGAATAGAAGATGCATCATTCGACTAGCAGAAACTGCGCAAAAGCTCGACAAAGTTGAAACGCAACCGAGGGTCAAGTTCCCATAAAAAAGCAACCAATGGTCCAATGTCAGCTCCAACCTTTGTGCCTGTAGGGCACGACAACATGCCTAGGTCAAACCCTGTGGTTTGATGCTGTTAGGGTGTCCAATGCGAGCATAGCAGTAGTATCCCGCGGCTCATGCAAAGCAAACCATAAACGACCGGTCAACTCCATGCACCCTGCGCAAGCCTGTCGACCTCCTTCTGTTTGCATCCATCGCGCTAGACCTGCCCGAAGCTGCTCAGAAAGCTTCATGTGCTCGCCGCGACAAGCGTTATCGACCTCCAGGAGTGAGATCGTCCTGTTTCCGTGTCGCCCAGGGAAGACTGCGTCGATCTCCGTCGAGATTTGTGGTGTCAGCTCGACAAATTTCTGTACGGAGGACAGCCACTCGTTCCAGTCAAAGCACTTGACTGTCAGGATCTTGGGCCCATCCACTGAAACTTCCTCGGCGAGACCATCTAACTTAATTTGCAGCAGCTCCTGCAGTCGCGCTTCGTCCATTTGCTGTGCCACCTGCTCTCCATTGAACTTCTGCCTCAGTGAAATCTTGTCTCGGAGCCTCTCAAGCTCGACGAGAATGAGCTCCTTGTGGGCTGCCTCTTGCCGGTGCTGACGCTGTTTCCGCTCGAGATCTTGCTTGTCCTGGCGGATCTGCCAAGTCTTTTTCTCCTGCTGAAGTTGCTGCTGCAGCTCGTCGTGTAACTCTGCTCGCTTCTGCTCCCGCCGCTTTCGCCGTTCTCCCTCCAAAAGCCGCATTTCTTCAAGCTCATTCTGCAGCCCTCTGTGCAGCTCTTCGCGCCTTACCTGTCGAACGCGCTGGTCTGCCTGGAGGCACTCGTCTTCAGCCTCCCTTACAGCCGACTCCGCCGGCCCCAAGGCCAAGTCATGGGAGCCCGAGCCCTGCTCTAACGGCGACTGTGCCACGTCGACTTTCGGCCTGGGCTTCAGGGGCTGCAAGGCGCGGGGGTGCTTCATCTTCTCGAAGACCTCGCGAGCGGTGCTCGGAGTCTCCAGAAGTGTCGCAATGTCAGGTTCGTAGGCCAACATGGCAAAGGCATGTCCTTGGGATCCCTGGGGTTGCGAAGGCTCTTGCTCCAATTTGCCTGCCTTCTCCTTCGGAAAGAGTTGGACGATCTTATTCTTCGGCGAAGTGCCGGGGCTTCGACGTCCCAGTATATGCAACTTTTGCTCCCACATTGAACTCTCATGTTCCAGCATGGCGATCTTCTCACGCAAGAGTTTGGTATGCTGCCGACGCCAGTCTACTTCTTCTTGGATGTGCGATGGCAGGCCTGCGCCGCCTGCGCTCTTCAGACCCATTGGGAGGCCGACACGGCCGACATGCGTCTCGGAACATAAAGGGCAGGCTGAGATCTCAGCATCGCTCTCAAACTCTGGCAGCGCACGAACGCAGCGCTCGTAGATTCCGGCTTCGGCGTCGGAGTCTTCTGATGCATCAGCGCGCAAGCAGCTCCTTGCATCCAGCCTTTGCAAAGAAATCATGGGAACAGTGACAACTATTCTTTGCATGGCATGACCAACTTGCAGTGTGCAACCTTACATGTTGTGCCGTCTCTAAATCGCAACCTGCCGGGCCTTCCGATTGCGCTTTCCAACTCTTCGAGTCGCTGCCGGAGAGACGCATCGTGCGTCACTCCGACTCCCACACTTGGAATCTGATTCTGCAGCGCATCGAGCGACATTGGGACAGTGCATCTCCAGCATGGGAACCGACAGAAACGATGAAAGTGTTGGAAGACCGTGTCTTTTTCCACAGTGTTCCAGTCTATTCAGCTCTTCTCCCGTTGTAACTATTCCTACAGTTGTCATAGTCACTGAGTGGTCCTTTCGAGGCGGCGGTTCGTGGGGGTCGCATTGCCACAAATTTGTAAAACTCGACAGAAACTGGAACGAAGGATGCAAAGGATGGGGCCAAGCGGAGAGGAACATCGTCCCAATGCAGTCGCGAACACGGCACGTGATCAAAGCCTTGCAACAAGTTGAGGACTTGAGGCACTTTGGCGCTCACCTCTGCCTCTCGTAAGCGCCAGACTTGCGAGCCTTACTTGCAGCGCCAGCTGCTCTCTAGGACGGGACCTTAGCTGTTAGCTGGCTTCCGCTACTTACCGTATTTAGCGACATAGTGGTTTTGATTGCGCCCGCTACTCCGAGGAGCTGACGTGCTGCCTGCTTGCCAGAATAGCTCCGCTAGCCGCCTGGCTTGTGCCAGGGTCTGTGTCCTTTGTTCATGCAAAATGTCGAATGATAAGACCGCAGCAATTCCCAAAGCCAAGCAGCCCAAGATGCTGCAGCCTGCCGCCTGGAGCTCCGACCTAAGCCGGAGAGAGGTGAGCGCATTCATAGAGCAGAACGTAGCTATGCTTGGTTTGACCGTTTAACCGTTTGCTGGCACAGGTCCAAGCCGCAACAAGCTGGCCATCTGCCACTTTGGACAGTTGAGCCTGGAACTAGGAACTTCTAGCCAGCTGTCACAATTCACTTGTGCCCAGGCGAGGGAAAGCGTCAGGATCGTCCTCGCACGTGTTGGTCAAAGCCTCTAGGCACTCTAGGCATGTGATTCAGACGCAAGACCTTGTTCAGTCCATTCTCTGTTCATCGTTATCATCCGACTTTATCAGCGTCCTTCATGTAATTGGCAGACTGCTGTGTCAACCAGTCCTTGGATTGGAACCGTGCACCACGGATGCAAGCCCACATGTGATTGATCAGCAGAAACACACTGCGACGTTTCGCTTTCCATCTTTAGCTCTGTATGGCGGAGTCAGGAACTGCATGTACAGGCGAAGGCACGACCAAGTCTTGCGGCCCATCCTGAGAAACGGACCCACGCTGACATCGCGCAGCATTTCTGAAACTGTAGCCAAATGTTGTTTCAGCAGCTGCCGCATGCTCTGTGTGCAACTAAATTCGCCTGGCCGGTGTTCGCCGAGCATCTAGCTTGCCATCAAACTTCTTTGGGTTGCGGTATCCTTTCCTGAAAGCCAGGCAGCATTCACAGCATGTGACAGTGTCTGTGGAAAGGCGAGAACTTGGTTGAACGATGTTGAACGATATCACGTTCATCTGCAGCCTCCCCAAGTCCTCGGACCTCCAGGCCTTCCGAATCCTAGCTGCAAAAAAAGAGTGGGCACGGGTATTCGCCAGCGCACCTTTGCAAGCCAGCGGCCGGTACAGCAAACCTCTTGGCAAAGGCCCTTGGAAATTGTAGCCCCAGGTGTCTCCTCAGACTCGGGTGCAAGCCGATGCCCCCAGTAAATTAGCATGCCCTAAACACATCTGACTATTTCACCGGGACAGGCTTCCGTTCGATGAGTCGTACCTGGCGAGGACCGCTTTGCGAAGATCCTGTGCCCCATGTGAAAGGAAGCCGGAGGCGGAAGGAAGTGACTACAGTTTCTAGAGCTAACCAGTGTCAGCGAGCTCAAGATCAAGGGCAAGCTTTACTCAGCCCCGCCTTCTTCTTTGCCTTCCTCGGCATGCAGCAGCGAGGTTTCTAGCTTGAGCTCACTCTTCAAGGCTCCAACATGTGCAGTGCCTGCACAATTTGCAGCTGAGCTGCTTCAACATGCCTGAGTAAGCGTAAGCTTGGGCGAAACTGCAGAACGCAAGAACTGGAACAACAGTCCATCAGTCCATACGCCCATGAAGTCTATTCGTCTCATCATGTCTCATCTCTCAGATAAGGCTGTGGGGGCTTCAAGTCACGCCTCTACCACTCTGGAATCTGATTCAGCTAACTGGCGGGCAGCGTATTCCCAGATGGCAACAGCATGCGCACTTCGATGAGAAGCATCGAAGAACAAGACAAGGACCTGGAAGTGAGCCATACGGTCGCTTGCAGACTGTGCCATGACCAGGAGCAAACATGGAACTCTGAGCAAAAGACAAACTTGTGAAATTTTCGCTGGGCGATAACTTCGGAGATGTTCCTTGGCTCCGGGTTTCGAAGTGCAGCAAAGACGGCAGCGGGTCTCGAAAGCCCATCGCAGAACCCAGCCGTTGGCAAAAGCTGTGCCAAGCATCTCAGCCGTGACCACCTGCGACTGGTTGAGCGGCTAGGTACAGTAGGTGCTGCGGCTTCCTAGTGCAGACTCCAGACTATCCAGACTGTAAACTAGAAAAGCGCAGGATGAGCCCCATGAGCCTTGTGCTCGTGGGGCGGTGGCGGCAGCTCATCCAGGCCGGATGTCGCTTTGCCCGACTGCGCGGCGGCAGAGGTCGCATGAGTCGCTGCACGCGGCCTCCAGGGCTCTCGGGCTCCCGAAATGTTGCACTCGGTTTGAAGACGCCTGCGATGATAGCGTTTTCGCATAGTTTAACTCGTTGCGCAACTCTTGTCTGAAGGCCACCGGACCCCACTGTATCGCATTCATTCGCATTCCTCCTAAGTAAGCTCTTTAAGGCCTCAGGGGTTTCGTCCCAACCGCCATGCCAGCATGCTTGCGTCTAAGATCCTGATTCCGATCGTGCCTCCTCTACGACAATTCCTCCTCCGCCTACGAACAGTACGAGTACGACTGCAAGGACTCCCACGAAGACGACGACCATCAACCAAGTAGTACGACCAAGACTGCCACTTCTAGTAAAATCACTGGCGCCAGAATGGTCAAACAAACAAGAACAGCATGTAATACTTAGCCAGCTCGCCGCGGCTTGTTGGCCGGCTTGCGGCGAGGCTTTTCGCCGCTCTTCGCGACACAGTCCCTGTCACAAAACCTGCGCAAGAAACCGCGGCAGGATGGAATGGGTAACAAAAAGCCACAAAGGAGGGTTGAGGCAAGTTCAACGGTACTTTCTGCCTCTCCAAGCTGCCCTCCCGAAACTGAGCCGACAAGTCCTCTTCCTGTTCGGGGGAGTGTGTCCGCGCTTCCGATTCAAGACTCTTAGTTGCGCATTCCGAAGGTCCTCCACGAGACTTCGGCAATAGCCTCCCATGCGCTTGGGCCACTTTCCACCACCCTGGAGGACACCTGCCTCGGACAAGTCACATTCCTCTCGCCATGCTTCGCATGTGTGAGCACTACAGCAAGGCAAGCGCATCGTTGGTATCGATGCCAGGCCCACTCAGGACTTTGCCTGGCAGACGCAATGAACACGAGCTCCATGAGACGACGGTGATTGCTTCAGTAATTTGAGAATCTACCAGAATGTAGATGCTGGCTGGACATAAACTTGCGGCCGTCCGGCGAGGGGGTGATGCATGTGCAGGTCTCCCACGCCTCCGTTTCCTCTGGCTGGCTCTTTGATGCCTCAGCTGCAGGAGCACATGCTCTCCCTCACTTGCCGGCATGCCGATGCCCATATAATATATGCAAGCAAGAGTCCATAGTCATTGTAAGTCTCGTCGCTGCAAGCCTGGATTCATCATCCCGTGCACAACGCACAGCACAGTGCCACAGAATATGAACGTGGTTTGAATGTTGCGCGGAAGAACACCCTTGGCCCGAGTCGATCATTGTCTCCTTCATTGCCTGTGCTTCTGCGAGCAAGCCGCTTCTTCCAGCATCTCGGCGACGCGCACCGCTTGTTCACGGCGTGCCTCGTCAGGCGAAGATGGTACTACAGATTGTTTTATAGATTGTCCTGCCGTCTCGGGCGCCCGGATTTGCTGACATGATCGAATAGCGTACAGACTGAGCGATGAAATGCAATGAGCAACAGAGCAGAGGCTTTGCTGGGCACATGGTCTCACAATCATTGGACATAAGCATGGTGATGTGCTGCGACCTTAGCCGACATGCTTAGGCTCGAGCAGACTTATCCAGTTTGGCTTGGTGATCCAAGCCTAATTTGTCCTTGGTGAGAAGCCCGCAGCTTCGGCGCTTTCCGTCATAACCACGATTCAAACAGTTGGAGGTTGGACTTGGACATGTATTTCAACGACCACTCACTTCCAACTACTTCCAACCCACTGCTTGGAGAGGCTCCAAGCGACGTTGTATCTGGAAGATCGCTGCCTTGCAGGCAGCGCAGCGGAATTGCTCCGGTATCCTTGGTGAGACTCGCTGATCGTTGTATCAAGTAGCAGCCGTCGACAAGTCTAGGGCACGTTGCATTTCAATCCGAGTGCTGCCTAGGCACACATCTGATTTCGATTCCTGTGGCGATAACAAGCATCCAAAACATGCCTACGGACATAGTCGCCGACGTTCCAAAAAGGCTGATGGCCCGCAAACGGTCATGAGCCATGACCTACGTTACCCAGAGACTCCAGTACTCGCCCCCAGTGCTCCCAAATCCCTCCATGTTGGCTCAGGATCCTCCTCGGTAAGCTCCCCGATCTTGAAGTTCAAGGGGACTCCGGCGCTTGCGTCGGCTGCCCCTCGTGCAAAGGCACCGAACAACCTTTGAACTTCACGGGGTCAGAATCATGTGCGTAACTTAGATCGAGGGTGTATGGCATCGAAAGCAGCTCAGCTCAGCCGAAGGAGCAGGGCCAGCAGGGCCATGCATTCGCCAGGGAGCAATCGTCAGCGCACCAAGGCTTCCCACCCCATCTTGCAATGGGGCACTACACGACATGTGTACTCAGTGTGTACTCCTACAAGGAGAGAATAATGCTGCATGCTCGCCTCGTAGCAACATCCTTGTCAGGGATGCTGCAAGCTTCGCGTTGATGCCACAGTATAGCTCGCATCAAAGCTGCAGACACGACTTTTCATTATGTTGAAAGCAGCTTGCAGGATTCAGAACTTCGAAGTAGCAGCTCCTTTTCCGCGGCTGTGGTCTTTGCAGCTCTGCCTGCGTGTCGCAAACTGCGAACGCTCCCCACGTTCGCGGCAGCGCTCACGCGCTCGAAGCTCCCTGCGGCCTGAGGACAGGCGCCACCTGCGGACGCAAACGCCTTCACATGCCGTCGACTCTTCGGCTTCCCTGCGACCCGTGCGCCTCTGGAGGCAGCTCACGGTAAGCGGCTGCTGCCTTGCCGCAAGTTCTAGAGGGTCTCGGCGCTGCATCTCGGCTGCAGCGCCGACTGCCCAAAACCCAGGAAAGCACTGTGCTTCGTGTCATCGAAGATTCAAAATGAAAACTAACAACCTGATGGCCCTTGCTATCTTCTTGGACTTCCGGAATAGTTCACTGAGCCACTAAGTGAGCCATCACACAGGTGCTGCTCAGACTGGCCTACATGCAACCCACCTCTCTATAAAGTAAAAGCCAGAAAGTTGCAATATGATTATCCTAAACCCTTTATAGTCAATTATAGGGTATCCTACCCTGATACCATATTCCAACTTTCTGGAGTTCCCTCTAGACTGTACATGATCCTGGGCGGTCTTGCCTGGTCACTCTTGTCCGGCGGTTGGGGCTGCATGGCCAGTAGTGTGGCCAAGCTGAGGTCCTGAGAGTATCTGGGAACTGATAACAGACGAACTCCTCAGAAGGGGGAAGGGGGACGGGGACGCTACGCCCGCTACGTGGCTCATGGCTCTCCTCTTCGGGAGGAAGCCGTGCTGGCGGCTCCGAGGCCTGGCCGCAGAAGGCAGGGCGCGGCAGGGCAAGCGCAGGCGCTGCTCTCCGCGGCCTTCAAAGGAAGGGCGGCCCTGGGCCTCCGCTGATCGCTTACAGCTTCCATCTTATGAATCCTTTTTTCGAGGATTTTGAGGCGCCGGCTGTTCCTCCCATGACAGGCGATACGAGCCGGGGCCGATGGGGTCGGAGTCCAGAGGCCGCTCTCTGAGACTCGCACCTTCACTCCCGCTCCCGTGACCGCTCAAGGCACGAAGCCTGGCTTCCTCGCTTTTGACGAAGTCCTTCATCACTTGCACATCGTCCACGCTGGTGGAGCTGGTCTGACACGGCTCCAGTGGCTCCGGAGTTTGCAGTGTCCCTTGCATCCAGGCGTGCGCGACGTGTGATGCATGGGAATCAGGTCGTCCAGGTCGCCCGTCTCGCAAGCGCCCTTCGGGCGCTGGAACGCTGAAGCTTCGACTTGGACGCCGAGAGCTGGTCTGTGGCTTCGCTCTCTGCGGCGGGAATCGTGATGGGTACCGAAGCCTTAGACCGCAGAACTCCGGCACAACTCCGTCTGGAAGCGACAAGTTGTGTCCTGTAGTCAAGCCAAGAAGCTCGGCCTCCTCCAAAGTCCGCAGCCGCTCTTTTAGCTGAGCACCTTGTGCCCTGAACGACCAGACAGCTGCTGTTAAGCGGCGCACAGTGCTGCTAGGAGGCATACTAGGAATGCGCATCGTTCGAAAAACACACCCTCACACAGACACACAGTCAAGTTCTCCATCTTTCACTCGAGCTCCAGGAGCACGCCTCGCTGCACGGAGCTTTTCGCTGGCCCGGACGGCCTCCGTCCAGCTTTGGTCGTTGGCTCTGACTTGCGACTGGACTTGGCTGGCCTCTGTGTGGCACCGCTCTCGGGCCCGCCGCTCCTTGCGAAAGCTCCGAGTTCTGTCAAATCGCTCAAGCTCATGCGCCAATTGCGCTGCGCCCGGTCTGCCGTTCCTCTGCAACCTCCGCCTCCTTTCGGCTGCAAGCCTTGCCGCCCACGACTACGAAGACTGCAAAACCACAGCCATGGAGAAAGGCGGCCTGCTCCAGGTCGAGGAGCCGACGCTTGCACTGCGCCTGCGTGCTTGTGCCGCTCCGTAGGCAAGGCAATGGCAATGTCACGCTGGGGGCGGCACAAGCTGGCCACCTGGCATGGAAGTTCCTGACAAGATCAGGCGGTGCACAACTGCCTTGTGCCGGAGATCTGTGCAAAAGTAAACAGGGCCTCCCCCGACCAGCTGATCCAGGCGTCGACGTGCTTCACGTAGTTCATGAGCTTGCTGCTCTTGAACTTGCCAAGCCTTGCCGGATCGGCTGAAACGGCCCAACAGCCCATGCCACCATCGCAGCACCAACGCAGCACCGGCGCACCTCCTGCTGCTTTGCACGTGCATCTGCCAGCTCATGACCCAGGCGCTTCGACCAGCTGCTCTTGGTGGCGCGGTCGGCTTCTGCCTGCAAAGCTCTGAATGCTTGGATATGCTTGGATGCGAGCGGAGGGTTTTCTCTGAGAGATGAAGGAGAAGATGCGTATCGAAGCGTTGCCTTCTCGGTGCGGGCACATGCTGAAACATGACAGTTTTCACCCTTGCTCTGAACAAAACTGTAGGAGGTGTTCTTGATCTCCTGGGCCCTGCAGGCTCACTGTGTTTCGCAATTTGCTGCCTCTGCCAAGGCTTCGCGGGTCGTCATCAGCTGCACCTGAACGCTTCAGAACCCAAGCCAACGAAAGCTTCATGCGTCTCTCGGGGTTCAGCAGTCGCATCAATTACGAAGTGCAAAGCTGTCGCCTCGAGATCCTTGAGATGGACTGAGTTGGTCTGGTTCAAAGCTTCCGCCGCTCTCAGCTCGCCCTTGACCTCTCAAAAGCAAGTGCCGAGGCCAGCTAGTCGAGCATACGCATAATCATGCAATAATGGCTCTGTCAACATCGCAGAACATCATAACACCCAAACAAACGAATCCCCCCGTTTGTTGAGCAAAACAATCGCGGCAACATGGGCGGCCGTAAACAAGCCCATCGGATGTGGCGCACTGTACATTTCCATATGTCAAGCTCGCCATGACCGAATCGTCAGCGTTGACATCCACACCCTCGTCGTCGCAGTCCTTTGCGTCATGACAATATCGCCATCATCATGACCACCATCAGCCCCCTCCTCCTCGTCCTCCTCATTGCCACCATCGTCATCATGATCCCCCTACAACGATGTTGTGCAGCATAGTTGCTGCCATATTTAGAGCAGGATCGCCATCATTGTCCATGTCATCATCCGGTATTTCGATCAAAATGATGACCAGCAGCGGTGCCATCACCATCATTAGCTTCATCGTCACCCTTTTATCAGCAGCCTGAGCATCGCATGGAATCTGATGTTAACACATCTTATTCTGCAGTGAAAGGCATCCTCATCGCCTCCTCCTTTCCTGATCATCATCCCTGGCATGATCGCCACGAGGGCAACAAGGCTACTAATCATAGCTCTGCGAAGGCTTTTAGTTCATGGCTCTGATGCAATGTTGCAGCGATTCTTCATCCGATAGACAGTCTACAGGCTGGGCGACGGGTCTTTGAGCTCGTCTCCCGCCTCGCCGGCTCGCTGCGCAGATCTGGCCTCTGCTTGCTCCACGCGCCTCGGGAGTTACAATCGAAGGCTGAAAAACTTTCCTTAGGCCAATGGTCACGGACAGTGACAAGGGGAGGTCTTCCCCTAAGCATGAACGCGGAGACACTGAAAACTGAGAGATCATGGCAGTGTATCACACTGAACAGAATTCTGGCAGATGTAAGACAGCCGAGACTCAGATTGCTCGCTCTGAGCTCATTGGCCTAGCACACATCTGGCTGGTGATCTACCAAGCTGTAGACGGAGTTGTCCCCAAGCCTGCTCTTCTGCACACCGTAGCCGACGTCTTAGGTCCGCCACTTCACTTTCCAGGTGGCCAGCCGCCACTTCCGCTGCCTGTGCCCCGCGCATTTCCCAGGGTCACGAAGGTCATCATTGCTGAAAACAAATGCCTCGGCACTGGCAAGTCGTCGCTCAGCGCTCCCTGCACCTCAGAATACTTGCAGAGGATCTGCTTGTGACCCTCGGCACACGTCTGCGCTTGCGAGAAGCAGAGCCAGAGCCTGAAGACAGGTTTCGGGAAAGTCCAAGGCTGCCACGTCGCGCATTCACCCGGCTGTCGTGGCGTAGCGCCTGACGAGAATGGACTCACGGAGCTCTCTGCCTGGCTTTAGCTTGGTGGCTAACACTCGAAGGCACTGAAGGCCATTTTTGCAGTGTCTTAGGCAGTGCCTCCACAAAACGGAGCTGGCCTCCTACTAGCAACTTTTGTGCTACTGCTCCTCCTACAGGGCACTTCTCATGCAAAACCGTTTTGTACGGCTTTCCACCGCCCATCAGCGCTGGGAAATTGGCACAGGAATGTCTAATAGCGTACTAAATCTGAACATACTTGCCCAGCAGGGCCTACCACAGAAGAGAGAGTGTGTCATCCCTGTGAGAATCCGTGCAAAAAACACCGGTATCTTCCCGAGAACAGTCCTCATGCTTAAAGTTGAGCTTGTGGCCGGGTCGAAGTCTCGAATTGCTACACAGCACCCACCTCTTCTACCTTCCAGTGACCTCACTAAATCTCTCGTCCGAGACGAGCGCATGCAATGCCCAAAGGCCGCGCTAAAGCAGCGTACCAGAGGGTACAAGATGACAAGCACTACAAAGCCTACAAAGCCAACCGACTGTTGACTTGCCTCCGGTCGGTACGGAAGGGTGGGGCCTCTTTTGCATCCCCACAAACATGGGGGCAGCAGCCCACGGTCATGGGCAGATCACGCATGTCGCTATCCTTCAGATCTCGGGGCAGATAGAGCTCGTCAGACCCAACTTGGCATGCGGAGGACTCCAGATGGCTGGTGGTCTCTGTGCGGGTGCTCACTGCGCTCACAGACTCCATGTCATAGGTGTCGGGAAGCGCGCGTGCCTTGTCCGAGCTGCCTTTGTTCAAGACCTTGATCCAGCAGAACCAGCAGCAAAGACCTGGAATACAAATTAGAAGCAGCAAGAAGCCAATCATGGGCAGTGGACCGAAACGGCTCCCCTTCATTTCACGCTTGGTCGTTTCTTCCGTCGCATCTTGCTCTCCCTCCACTCTTCCCGCTGTGAGTACTGTCTGGGCTGCTTGCTCATAATTATCATTCTGACTTCCCATCTCGTGGATGCTTCCAGCAGGCGTTGCAGCCGGCACGGGCGGCACAGTGGGTACTGCGCTTGGGCTGGGCAATGCGGTGGCATCGGCTGCAGAGCAGCAGTCGAGTTGATGACCAGCATCGTTCGGACAACAAAGCCCTCCCAATCCCAGCGCAGCGCACTTCTGATTGCCAGAGCACTGCCTCGAAGGGGTACAGCAATCCAGGTACTTCCCTATTGAATTGGGGCAGCAGTCCCCCACGAGATTCAGGACTGCACACTCCGGAGTTGCCGAGCACGATTGCGAGGAGAAGCCGGACGGTCTCAAGGGGAGCAGCACGAAGACCAAGCCCAAGGACCGCATCCTTGCAGCCATTGCGACCTGAACCTCAGCCCTTGCTATACTAAGCCACAAAACGCTGCCGACGCAGTGATTTAGATGCCAAAGGAGAAGAAGCACGAGCGTCTGCTCAACATCATGTTTTGCCAGATTTCCCGAGATGTGGACCTTGAGTCGCTCGTCCAGATCTCGCATTTGAAGCTCCTCCTGGGTGCACGTAGCGACGAAGCGGCAGGTAACACTCGGCATGCCCCGAACATGCTCTTTTTTTATCGGTCGCGTTGCAGCACACCCACACTACACCCACCATCTCTGCAACTTCTCGCTGCGTCCTGGCGAGCAACGCGTTCAGCCTCCTTCTGGCGGCCCTTGGCCGATGCAGCCGATCTGAGGGCCTGCCAAGCTGAGTTCTCAAGTCGTCAGAGTTCACTCGCAGGACTTGACTACAGCGAGCCTGTCGCATCTCGTCCTTAGCATTGCTCGGGTGCACAGTTTGTCATGCACTGCCAGAAATGCTCGAAGCCAGGCTGCTTGGACACATCTGGCCTCGCTCTGAAGCAAGCGAAGCCGCGCAAAAAGTCACGTTGCGATATTTCACGAAGTGACAGTGGCCTTCCTATGGAGGCTTCCTGTTGTTCTTGTATTCTCGCAGCTCAGATCGCTAACTTCATGTTGCAATATTACATTTGCACTTGCAGACTTCAGGAAACACGTCCGGAGACGCCTGGTTTGTCTGTTCGCAACGCTTGCGTCGGGAACCATATTGGAAAACAACAGGATGTTAGCCATTGCATCGGCCGACTTAGAAAAGTGTCAGCTGGAAACACCAGACTTGCAAAGCCCGGAATGAGAGCACCAGCATCTCCCTCAACTTCTTTCAACTCTTCACAATCTCATCCGCAACAAGCTGGGGCACCACACTCGGCGCTCTGCCTCGTCGCGGCCGCTCTCGGCCAAGGCCGCTTGGCTCTCCAGCTCCGAGGCTTTCCGCCTCCAGCCTCCGTGGTCGAAACGGCGCTTAACCAAGCTCCATCCGTGTGCTCCAGGTGTCGGGTCGGGTATCGGGCATTGCTGGCACATTGCCTCTCCTCCCTGACCACGAGCTACGAATCCAAAAGGGCTCAAAAGAAGAGCCCGGTCGCATGGCGCATCAAATCGGCATCATCATGGAGTCATGGGCATTGCGGCAACAGTGGATGGCATCTTGAGGTTCGCGCGGGTGAGGTGCTCCTGGCATGCCGTGAGCTCGGCCTGCGTGTCTTGTTGCTCTGCCTCGGGCACGCAACGACTGTAATCTGTGTATCTGAATCTAGGTCAAGGTCCCTACAGAAAAGCCCGGTCTGAATGCCAAAATACACACAGACTCCACAATCGTCCGTAGCGAAATCAAGTCAGAGTGCCTGCAGTTGCGAGTGTTCCGCCAAGAGAGACATGAGCTGATGGTGCTGCTGAGCTTGTACCTGGGGGGGGCAATGTTTTTGAAAGCTGGACTTGTATGGATTCACGGATTCACGAACAATGCAACAAATGATGATGCCTGGTACTGTTTCCAGGTGCTGTCTGCAGAATCCTTAGACACGGCGTCATATCGAAGCAGAGCCCGCTGAGCCCACAGTCGCGAAAGAAGTGTTTAAGAGAGTCTAGGAATTTCCTCAAGCTCTCCTCAGTTGCCGAGCTTCGCCTGGCGCCGCTGGCGGCGCGTCCCTGCAATGTTGACGAGGTCCAGGTATTGTTTAAGGTTTCTCCCCTTTTTCGAGTTCCGGCCACCGAGTAAGAGCAAGGCCACAGCAAATCTCGAGGAGAGACGAAAAACAACGGAAGTGCTCCGATGTGCTGCCGTAAGTAATCGGCACTCTGAAAGCCAGGCGGCAGGAAGGACGACACACGAAGCTAGGCAGGCAAATTCACTGACCGCAGGTATGTAGCAAGCGGAATAAGAAGAGAGCGGAACGACAGATGCAGAGGTTGTCCTAGCCAACCCGAGTAGACACAGCAAGGTACTATCTGAATAGGGGGCCAGCACGTCCAAGGCGCACGCGTCCCCGCGTCCAAGGCGCACGCGCCTGCGCACAGCCTTTCCCGCGTCCAAGGCACACACATGGCTTCCAATTCATTGTTTTTTGCTAGGGACTCAGCACTTTCCGATTCAGAAAAAAGCTCTCAACCACAGCTTTCTCCGGTTGCGGATGCGGCCTAGGCGCGTGTACCTTGGACGGTCCTAGGCCCCCTAGGCTGAAGGTTTGGACCGTCCAAGGCGCACACACGGACCGTCCAAGGCGCACACAGACCTCATTTGCGCTTCCTATATACACACCGTCATTTAGCGATTCCGATTATCCTATATCTTGAACACACCCCCTCATTTGGTGATTCCGGTTATCTTATTTCTTAAACACACCCCCTCGTTTGGCGACTGACCTCTTAAACACACCGTCTCATTTGGCGATTCCGGTTATCCGATATCTGAAACACACCCCCTCGTTTGGCGATTCCGGTGATCTTGTTTCTTAAACACACCCCCTTCATTTTGGCGATTCCGGTTATCTATATCTTAAACACATCCCCTCATTAGGCGATTCCGGTTATCTTATTTCTTAAACGCACCCCCTTCATTTTGGCGATTCCGGTTATCTATATCTTAAACACATCCTCTCATTAGGCGACTCCGGTTATCTTATTTCTTAAACACACCCCCTCATTTGGCGACTGACCTCTTAAACACACCGTCTCCTTTGGCGATTCCGGTTATCCTATATCTTAAAGACACCCCCTCATTTGGCGATTCCGGCTATCTTAATTCTTAAACACACCCCTTTCAGTTAGGCGATTCCGGTTATCTATATCTTAAACACATCCCCTCATTAGGCGATTCCGGTTATCGTATTTCTTAAACACACCCCCTTCATTTTGGCGATTCCGGTTATCTATATCTTAAAGACATCCTCTCATTTGGCGATTCCGGTTATTTATTTCTTAAACACACCCCCTTCATTTTGGCGACTGACCTCTTAAACACACCGTCTCATTTGGCGATTCCGGTTATCCGATATCTGAAACACACCCCCTCATTTAGCGATTCCGGTTATCTTATTTCTTAAACACACCCCCTTCGTTTTGGCGATTCCGGTTATCTATATCTTAAACACATCCCCTCATTAGGCGATTCCGGTTGTCTTATTTCTGAAACACACCCCCTGATTTGGCGACTGACCTCTTAAACACACCGTCTCATTTGGCGATACCGGTTATCCTATATCTTAAACACACCCCCTCATTTGGCGATTCCGGTTATCTTATTTCTTAAACACACCCCCTTCATTTTGGCGATTCCGGTTATCTATATCTTAAACACATCCCCCTCATTAGGCGATTCCGGTTATCTTATTTCTTAAACACACCCCCTTCATTTTGGCGATTCCGGTTATCTATATCTTAAACACATCCCCTCATTAGGCGATTCCGGTTATCTTATTTCTCAAACACACCCCCTTCATTTTGGCGATTCCGGTTATCTATATCTTAAACACATCCTCTCATTAGGCGATTCCGGTTATCTTATTTCTTAAACACACCCCCTGATTTGGCGACTGACCTCTTAAACACACCGTCTCATTTGGCGATTCCGGTTATCCTATATCTTAAACACACCCCCTCATTTGGTGATTCCGGTTATCTTATTTCTTAAACACACCCCCTTCATTTTGGCGATTCCGGTTATCTATATCTTAAACACATCCCCTCATTAGGCGATTCCGGTTATCTTATTTCTTAAACACACCCCCTTCATTTTGGCCATTCCGGTTATCTATATCTTAAACACATCCCCTCATTAGGCGATTCCGGTTATCTTATTTCTTAAACACACCCCCTCGATTTGGCGACTGACCTCTTAAACACACCGTCTCATTTGGCGATTCCGGTTATCCTATATCTTAAACACACCCCCTCATTTGGCGATTCCGGTTATCTTATTTCTTAAACACACCCCCTTCATTTTGGCGATTCCGGTTATCTATATCTTTAACACATCCCCTCATTAGGCGATTCCGGTGATCTTATTTCTTAAACACACCCCTTCACACCGTCTCATTTGGCGATTCCGGTTATCCTATATCTTAAACACACCCCCTCATTTGGCGATTCCGCTTATCTTATTTCTTGCTGCGCGTGCAGCTTGGACACGGGGGGTGGGCGTACCCGGCGCATGCAGGATGACTCGGCTCTGCGCAGGTTTCCAGCACTTTGGTCTGCGTTGGCATGGATTTTAAGCTTGGGCACGGCTTCGAGGGGGGGTGGGCGTACCCGGCGCATGCAGGATGACTCGGCTCTGCGCAGGTTTCCAGTACTTTGGTCTGCGTTGGTATGGATTTTAAGCTTGGACACGGCTTCGAGGGGGGGTGGGCGTACCCGGCGCATGCAGGATGACTCGGCCCTGCGCAGGTTTCCAGCACTTTGGTCTACATTGGCATGGATTTTCTGTCTGTGCTTGCATGGCCTCCGGATACAAGAAAGCTCGGCCCTGCGCAGGTTTCCCGCGCTGCGCGTGCAGCTTGGACACGGGGGGTGGGCGTACCCGGCGCATGCAGGATGACTCGGCCCTGCGCAGGTTTCCAGCGCTGCGCGTGCAGGTTGGACACAGAAGCGCGTGCACCTTGGACACGGGCGCGCGTGCACCCTGGAAGTGGCGCCCATCTGAATGACGGATACAACGGAGCAGAGCACATGGCAAGCTCTTCAGACGATCTCCGACCTGCCGGCGCTGCTGTCGGCCTTCTGTAACCTCGGGGTCTTGCTGCAACAATGCTACGGTCACCTCATTGAGGTGCTTGCCGCGTGCCTCTTTGCCAAAAGCTGCGATTGCAAACCAGCGATTTCTTCGCGGAGCTGCTGCAGCTCCCGGATCATGCCACCCTTCTCCTGGCCATACTGCGGATCAAAAATCATGGCAGCGCGAGGTTGCAGTTACATGACACACATATGATTCTTTATCATGAATGCCAACTTGTGCGACGAAGTCAGGCAAGCCCAGGCTTAGACTTCGCTTCGCTAGCCTGGCCTGTTGCCAAACCTCCGCCTCCTCCCCTGAGTACGGTGGTTTGCTCGGGACCATCCGACAGTCCGACAGAGACATGTCTGAGTTCTGGGCGCAGGCGTGACTCCAAGAGCCTTGCTTCAGCTTCAGCCTGCTGCCTGGCCAGAACCTGCGTGCACGATCGATCCCTTCGAAACATGCCCCGTCTGCAAGCCGAACGTGAACGTGCAAGAACGCCTGTAACCTACCCACGACGGCATGAATAGGCTTGACTTACGAGAAATTTTCGGGGTCGGGACAGGCGGCTGCAGCTGACGTGCAGATTACCCGAGGTTCGCGACGGTTGGCTTCAGCACATTCAAACCCAAGAGTAAAGGCAGATTGAGCAGCTGTGTTCCGCGCCCTTGCATTGCTGTCATGTTTTTGTATGGGGAATGGGGTCATTCTGGTCGTTTCCAATGCCGAATACTGTATTTCTCAGGCAGTCTGTAATGTTCGGAAGGGGCCAATGAAAAGATGCCTCGTGAGACCAGCGGTGGCATTGGTGTTGGGCTGTCCAGAATGAACAGAAACCTGTGACCTTCTCATGGAGAGACTGCCACAAGAAACTCACAGCTGGATAGAGGGACTTCCCACAGGAAGGTCACGGAAAAAAAGACGTCAGTCCACCCCAAGACGAAGCCCTGCTCGTAGGAAAATCCTAAAGGCCAGTGAATGCCTGCTACGACCGTCCATCGCAATGCATGACCCGAGAAACCAGAGCCAGAACATGCAAATGCCCTGATACACCAATCTAGGCACAACGGACCGAAACACAATGTCTGACAGTGTATGGCTTGTAAGGCTTATAGGAAACAATCGAGAGCTCATCCCGATGCCAGAGCACGTGCCAACGACTTATAATATCCCGAATCAACTCGACGCAGCTGTCAAAAAGATGAGCTCTAGCATCCAAATGCATGGAGCATTCCATCCAACACAGCCCAAAACAACAAGCACGATGTCGACAGTCGTTCTGCCAACAAAGGGCGAGCATTCATGCGGCACATGTAGAATTTGTCTTCAATGTCAGCACAGAAGCCGCCAAGATGGAAGACAGGAAATGCAAGAGGGCAGCATGCAAGCAGAAAAAGACTTGGTTAGCACCACTTGGAACCAACAGAGGCTCGTGCAAACAGCAGCAACAGCAACAACCACAACCACCGCCGCGGCAGCAGCGACAACAACAACAATGCTGCGGCAGCAGCTGCAGCAGCAGCGACGACACCGGCAACGACGACGACCGCCCGACCAGGAACATCAGCACCACCAGCGCCAGCGCCATGGGCCAGCAGCAGCACCACCCTAGCAGCAGCAGCAGCAGCAGCTGCTGCATCAACAACAGCAGCGACACCACCACCACCAACAACAACAACAACAGCAGCGACAGCAACAGCAGCAGCAACAGCAGCAACAGTAGCAGCATCAGCAGCAACAGCAGCAACAGCAACAAACGCCACAGCAACGGCAGCGACAGTGGCAACAGCAGCAACAGAAACAACACCACCAACACAAACAACGGCAACAACACCAACACCCCCCCACCCGCCCCCCATCGTAGTAGTAGAATGGTGGCTGTGGTTGTGGTTGTCGTGTTTGCCATTTGCAGCTGCTGCTGCTGCTGTTGTTGCTGCTGTTCTCTCTTTCTTCATTTTGTTGTCATTTTTATTCTTCTTCATGTTGGTGGTCTTTGTCTCTGTTGTTGTTTGCTTTGCTTTTTTGCTGTTGCTGTTAGTGGTGGTGGTACTTGTGGAGCAGTTGTTTTGATGAGAGTGGTCCAGAGCTTCTCTCACGCTCGCTGTTGTTAAGGCTGCGTGTCCATCCGTTTCTTTCGCAAAGCCTAAGGGAGGGAGCGACCCTCACTCCCTCGCTCCAAGCACATCCCTCTCTTTTCCTTTCTGCCGGGCACAAGGGTCGCTGTGCGACCCTCTCTCCCTTTCTTCGGTACTGCATCCCGATGGTCCTCAGCATTACACCCGCCAGCTTTAGCAGGGATACACACTTTTATCTTGATTTAGAGTTGGTGCTTGTGGCTTTGTTGTGCAGCTTGTGCGCGTTTGTAGATGTTGCATAATATCGCCTAGCTGTTGGGTGGTTGCTGATGCTGACCTAGATTAAGAGCCATCCATGCGGCTGTCACACGAAAGTGGGACCGTGAGTCTCTGATTGTATTGTGAAGGGTCGATACTCGGTCGAAGGCTGTAAGGCGTCCACCTCCTCGCGGAGACGTGTGATGAGGGATGAATACTTGGAGCCTCAGCCGAAAATCCCCCAAGCCCAAGCCGTGTTCATGGCGACTGCTATCTGTCGCAGGCTCTCGGTGCGCAGCAGAGATATTGAAGCCCTTCCTGCCCTGCAGACATCTCGACCTCGTGGAGCCAGCAATACACGGATCACACAGCTCCAGCTCATCCCGGAACAGGAAGTCGGACTGCCTGCGCCTTCATCAACCTGTGGCCGCAGCGACGGCAGAATTGAGAGTCGGCCTGAGGTGCTACAACACTGCAAGAAAGAAACCTTGCAGTCAATTATCTCAGGACTCTGCAAGAAGTTTAGCACCGCATTTGGGGCAGTTGCCTGACACCTCCAAGCATGGGGCGGATGCACCCGACCAGCCGAGCATTCTGTGAAAATCACTGAAGGAGCACAACCTGCGCGAGAGGTTCGCTTGCTTGCAGTCCTTGCACCACTCACCACTGAAACTCTCGTCATAGTTGCATTGCTGCCGGAAGTATAGCCTCTCCTCTGTCGCACCATCCAGTCATCTCCTGCAGCAGTGTAAGTTGCAGCCAGCAGGAGCATTAATGCAGTGTTGTGCAACCAAAGGATAGCGCGCCTGGCACTCTGCACCAGCATGGCTGCAGCGCCCCTCATTCAGCTACCCCGTGCTGTGAGAGGGCAAGCTGCGGTCGGGGAGAGGCATGGATTTCACGTTAAAAGTGAAAGCGCGCAGCATGTCCTACAAGTACCTATATCACAACAGTATTGAAAGCGCGGTGCCTATTGAATCGGATGAGCCCTCAAGGATCGCGCGGCCAGGTCTTCAGAATCTTGTCCTCGAACCTTGACGACGGAAAGAGCAGACAGGATCTGCTGCACTGACCGATTGGTGCAGGTGCAAACTGCTTACCGGCGCGACCGACCAACATCCTCCCATGGTGGTACAGATTCGGGCGCCCTGCGACTTCTCCCGGGGTCTCACGGTAGCCTTTGCCTGACAGACCATTTTCAATGAGGGTCTGCGTCCTTTTGCTTGACACCAGTCGCATGGTCTGCTTGCGACTCGAGGAAAGCACAAGCATGCGCGGTTAGACGTGCATGAATTCGCGGTCACGCCTTTCTAAACAGCTGAGGCCGGAGCATCAAAGGCAGACATCTCTGGCAACGCTGCTTCCCACCTGGCATTCCAAGCTTGGAGTACGTGTCTGCATGGTGTTATAATTGGTTCGTGAGCAGAGCTGAGACAGAGGAACTCCAGAACCCCAATCCGCCGGTAGCCACGCCGTTCGAAGGTCCTCTCCCCCGGAGCCCAAGTCCAGGAAGCAAGCTAGCACCTTGTGCACGAAAACACTCGGCCGATCTCGGCCGGGCTCTTCTCTGACGCTGCTTGGCGGTTGCGTCTGCGCGTCTGCGATGTCCGCATCCCTGAGTTCCACCTGGGGGTCCTCCAAAATGTCAGGGACCTCCTCGAAACGGCCTCCAAAGGCAGGTGAGCTCTCAGGGAACCAAGGGCTCGAAAAGCGGCGCAAGATTGTGCCTGCAATGCCACAGCTCACGCCTGCACCGGCCCTCAGAGCCTCAAGCTGTAAGCTGGCTGTAGGCATCTGTAAGCTGTGTGAGGAACGTCGGCTTCTGCAGTCGCCGCAGCCGTAGCTGATACCCCCGCGCCCGCGCCTCTCGGATTTCCGTCGGCCCGTGGTCACCTGTCGAGCAATCTGATGTCCTCTTTATCTGGGAAGCATCTGAGATGGTCTCATCTGCCGCAAGTTTTGGCGCTCGCTCTTGTGACTGGGGCTGCGGGAACAGCCGAGACAGTGCCCTGAGAAAGTCCAGAACAGGACATTTCGGGCAGAAGTGATGCGAATGGGCACCGCTGACTTTGTCGCGCGCAGTTCGCCGATGCTGTACAGGCACAGGCCACTTTCGCCTTCTGATCGCTACCATCCCGACTGATCCTGAGCGGAGCTGTTCTGTCAAGTGGCGATCAAGCATTTCTGTAGCCGTGATTGTCTGAAACCGGCACCTGGGTAGGGATGACGTCGATGTAGACCTTTCGCGCTTCAGAAGCAAAACGGCATCTAGGCCCTGTAGGCCTGACTACCTGCAGGAAGCACTCCAAGCGCGCTGCACGTAGCATCTGACCTTTCTCTTCAAATTCTTCCGCATAGCGATACGCCACCTGCGGCATGCTGTGACTACTTTGCGTGTGCATGCTTCTTGTAAAGTCCGAAGCCAGGCAACCTGGCGAGGCTCTCCCAACGCACACCGAAGAAGCGCAAAATGTCCATCGTCCTCCTCACGGACCTCTGAGCGGTTCTGCGCATCTCCTGGTTGGAAGACGACTGTAAGCGTGCAAATGGGCTCCGAGCGAACCGCACGAAGTTCCATAGTCTATCCTGGGTATGCATAACGATCCGCGGCTTTCCAACGATGCTACATCACGTAATGATGGCGCGGCACACGTCTGCGGCCAAGTCGCGCTGAGCAACAGTGTCGTTGGCGTGATGCGCCCTGAGCAAAAGAACAGTCTACAGCTGTTCCGAGTCAGATCTGACTTTCGGACTGAGCCCGCGGGCCGATGCCACCTGCGGAGTCGCTGCTGACCTTGACTGAGTGCCGAGAGCCTTCCCTGCAAACTTCTGCAAGTGCTTCTGTGCTCCTGGCATCCAGCGGAGGCTGGATTTTCACAACCCACACACCTTCACGTGGAAACTTGACCTCTCAACCGCTGTGCTCAAGTTGATGTGCATGTATGTGCGTATGTTTCACAAGTTGTGCGCCCAACTTTTGTGCTGCCTCTTTCTCGCGTGTGGCTATGGCAGAGCTGGATGCAGGCCGCCCGTCTCTGTAGACCAGTCCTGCAGAGCATTGAGATGAGAAAGTACGATGGTCGAGAGTGCCCGTACTGTCACTACTGAGGGGTCTCCTGCTCCTCTGTCTCCGACCTGAGGGCACGCATTCATTTCCGTCAAAAAGACCCAACCAAGGCTTCGCGAAAGACAACAGAAGACAACAGGCCCGATCCGACCCACCACCCCAAATTGAAAACCACATACAGGGAGTCGGACATCCTAAATCCCTCAAACATGCATTCATACAGCCAAGACGCTCCTATAGCTTTCTCACCTTTGCGTGCATCCGACCTTGCATACTTGCAGCAGAGAGATTTTGAGGGGCTCTTGTTACGCTCTTGTTGTTATCGATTCTTTCGACAGGTCTTACAGCGCACAAGTGTCACAAGTGCGCATGCAGAAGCCAAAGAGTATACGTAGACCCAACTAGCAAATGTGCCACCGTGAAACCGGATCGCCTTTGTGCTGGCAAGGCTCGGCTTGAGCTGCTCCGCAGCGGACTGAAGTCGGACCGCCCTGCAGTGAGAAGTGAGGACTTAGGTTGCTCTAGAGTCGCCAGTTGGAGGCTTCATTCTGTCGCAGCTGGGCTTTCGGCACAGTCTTGGATCTCAGTCAGGTGAGATGGAAAGCAAAACCCAGCCCCGTCTGGACAACACTGAGCCAGCCGCGCTCGGAGCCCGTCCGGTAGCTGAGCTTCCGCTAAAATGCAGAACCTTTCCCAGCACTGCGGCGCACTGAATTCCACCAGAGCGCTTGCGGTTGGCAGGATTGGTAATTCGACAGTGCCGCAGACACGCGAAGTGTCAGTCCTCGAGAAGCCAGTGAATAAAGCCGGCTTGCCTGACTTGCAGGGACCGGTGCCTGGCAGTCAAACTGCGAAGCCTCCAGAGCACGCCTCTACTCGCCACTTCCCGCGCCAGAGCCGAACCACCCATTGCATGCCGCAGCATGGGCAACATGCTCATCAGTGGCAGTGGATGGATGGTGTGTGTTATCACTCTCTTGCTGATGCTGTCTTGCTCAGTTTGAGCTTTTGTCCCGGATGGCTAACATTGACGCCGGGCAGGACGTCCTCGGCTCGTGGCATGACTATCAGACTATCACTCTTGGCGGCCAAATCTTCGAGTCAGAAGCGTGTGAAGTAACCCCAAAGAGTTCAGTGCAGCATCACATGCGAGTCCGAGACCCCTGGCCTGTGCCCAGCGAAGCCCACGGCGGCCTCGCAGGCGTCCCCAGCGAGTGCAACTCAGCCTTCTTAGCATATCTCCACATCGTGGCTCTCTTTGTGTTTGCGTGTGGTTCTTCCATTTTCTCTACTGCACCATGCCACTCCTTCAACTACTTGTTGGGGCCACTATGCCACTATGATGTAGATGTGGTTAGTCAGTTTCCCCCTGGCACAGCGACGCAGCCGAACAACAAAATGAACAATATGAGCCCTTTGGACTGATCCAGCAAAAACCGCAACGTGCTGAAAGGAGGACTGCAGGACTGGCCTTGAACCCGGACTATCCCGCCAATGACGAACCGGAAGAGCAAACAGGCTGGGGTCTGCAGCCAAGTTCTCCCGCGTTAGCCACTAGCCTTTAGTTGTCGGTTTCGCAAGACTTCTGGTTCGGCGGGGCCTGAGCCAGGACCAAGCTGGTAGCCGGCTCCTCGGCCATGCAAGGACCTGCTTCGCTGGTTCTCTTGCTCTTCGCAACTCGACAAGCTGGGAAAGTGTCGCTGCAGCATTCTGGTAGACCTAGCACTGATCGATGACCAAGCACTTTCGAAAGGCCCGAAGCTCTTCTGTTCTCCTTCTCATGACCGTGGCACACAACAACCCTAGGCCCCAGAACTGATGGATGCTTTGGGCCGGGCGAAAAGGCAACCCAGTGGGTGTAGCCAACTTGCACGGCCCCTCCATTTTCCCATGGCGATGGGAACTTCGGAAACTTTAAGGAACTTGCAGTGTAGTGGCTGTATTGGTTGCAGCTGTCGTCCTGCAGGTCATGCACAGGGCACACATTCTACTTCCATTAACCGACGGGCGAATCCCTCTGCTTGAGGATGTGTCTCTGTGGTGTGTATTCACGTAGTTACTAGTAACTATATTTTCCGCATGTGCCTGCTATAAAAAAAATAAATCCTGGATTTGGTAGCCTAGCTGGGACCACCGCGTGTCAATACTAGTTGGTATGGGCACATGTCAAATGGCGGAGATTGGGCTGAAACGCATAGCATTTCGACGGACCAGGCCAGTAGGAAAAATGCTGCCTGGCAGAGTAGCTACATCTGCGCGCTTGTGCGTCGCACCTGTGATATATAAGCTGCGCAGTGATTTTCTGTGGCGCGGCCTCGGATTCGTGGACAGTAGTTTTAGCTGGCGGCAGAACTCAATTCGCCCATATTGCTGAGAGGCATGCGACGCAAAAGCCTTTTCTCCGATGTCAACCCATTTGCTCACCAAGGCCACTTTTCAAGAAGTCGTGTCTTCAAGAGCCTCATGCGAGACTGTGAAACTGAGCTGCACGACACTTTCTCAAGCACGGCATTGTTTCGAGCTTTTCCCTCGCCCTCGCCATTTTTGCCGCAGCTGGGGTCGGGTTGGGTTGTCGAGCCAGGGCTATGCTCCCTTTTGGAAGAACTTGTGGTCCAATGCTGACTCAGCTGTCAATCTCGCTTCTGGAGCTACGCGCAGGCCTTTGTTCACAGCAGCACTACTTGCGGTTGGTCGGTGGCAGAAAAAGCATGCTAGCTTGGTCTTCACCGGTTGGCCGAGTGGCACGAGCTGAGCAGGTCTGAGAAATGGCTCACCAGGCCTTCGGGTTCTCCCTGTTTAGAAGGGTTTCTGCGAAGTTTGAGCAGCTTTGCTGTGAAGATGGGGGGCTGCCGAACAAGGGGTGCAGACATACTCCAAATCACAGAAGACCCAACACGCAATCCGGTCAAAGCCCTCGAGACTTTCGGGCAGCGCCAAGCAGACCTTCGTGTCGGCTTGCAGTCACGCCCTTGGGCGGTCGCTTGAGCACCTGGGTAGAGCTTGTGAGTTGTTGCAATTGTCTTTTGTCCCAGAGTTGACTCAACGAGAGCCACGTGACATCCTCCAGCAGGAACTGCAGCGGACGACTCGGAGGGTCAAAAGCATCCAGCGGTACCACCTCAGACCCCTCCCGGGTTTGAGACTTCTGGAAAACCGTTGGAAATTCTTCGGTCTCGACAAGGAGCACGAGGGTTTGCTGAGTTGATTGCCACATCACCTTCTGACCACTTCTCTTTGAAGCGCTACTAGTAGCAGCTAGCACCAAAACAAAGAGGGGGCTCGGCACGGGCCAGGCCTTTGGCATTCAGGAACTCGCCGCTGGCGCTGAAATGATTCTGGGTGTAGGTCCCGCCCATTGCGAAGGACTTCCTCAAGATGGCTTTCAGGGGTGAGCAAATCAAGTCGGCAGCATCTTCTCGGGTTTTCCAAGCCGTGTGGCGTGCATGATCCGCACACTTTGAACATCGCGTGAAGCATGTCGTTGTTCGTCTCACCCTGTGCGGCAAAGGCCACTGCATGAGTCATGGAGGGGAGGCGCAGAGTGCGTGCCGTGTGCAACCTATGCAAACTAGCACACTTCCAATTGACCTGGAATAGCACCGAGTCGGTAGCAAGCTCAAACAATGTGGCGCCAGCACTCCAAACATCCACCGAATAGTCGTAGTCCTCAGTCCACTTCGCATCCATTTGGATGGCTCTGCTTCTCCAGGCAGTGACCATATCTCAGCCACGGACCAGCCCAACGATGATCTCCTAAGCATCGCCGAATTTTCCGGAAACCCAGCGGGATCGCGAACACTTCAACTGCCAGCAAGGTTCCGGGGCACGGTAGTTTCGTGGCATGAGCTGATCCTTGGATGAATGCTAGAATACGAGGATGCCAACTCATAGCGGTCTGACCTACGACAACTGAGCCTGCTTCGGACTTCAAGAGCTCTGCCACGCCCTGGCAGCTTCCGAAATCACTCAGCTTGATTGTGGCGTTGTCACCGCCAAGTAGCCTGAGTGACTCGTCCGAGGACAGAGACACGAAACACAACAGCGAAGGGTGGTGGAAGGATGTCGACTTATAGCTGCACAGTATCAGCATGCCAGGCAACAGATTTTCAGGCTTCACGTCGCAGTGAATCAAACCAGCACGTCTCAACACTCGCAAAGCCAGGAACAGCTGCCGGCCGAAGTCCCGGACGGTGGGCAAGAGGGGCAGTCCCTTGCCTCAGATGTAGAAAGATGCTTTGCAGGACTCGGTTAATGCTTTACGCAACTTTACGCAGTCTTCAGCACCAGTACTGTTGCTAGACACACGGTTGGCTTAAGATTCCAAGCGTCCTGCACCATATTTGGCCAGGGCGGTCCGCAAGTTGCACTTCATGAGCTCGAAGACGGCGGCCAAGCGACCCTTGTGCTTGAAGCCCTCGAAGAAGGCTAACGTCAAGATGGCCCGCATGCCTTCAGGGTCCCGTTCGCCCACCTAGGGTTTTCAGAGACAAAGAGATGACACGCCTTGGCATTCGCGCTTTCACGGGGGGCCCCCGCCTTGGCGATCAATTGGCCCATGATCTTGATCTCACGCTCCAAGGCCCTGCGGGTTTGCTCGTTCGACCTGCGCCGCTCTGAGATCTTCTGCTACAAGGCATGCGTCACATACTTGGAGCATGTGCACAGTTTCCAGCCTGGTGAATTTCACTGCGTACTTTGCGTTGTCAGCGCAGGTGTCCCGACATCGGAACACCGTTGAGAAGGTGCCTTCCCCCAGCTTGTCTTCAATAACGAACCTTCCATCGGGCCCGCAAGCATCTCCGGGCGCCGCGGCGAAATCGATCCCGAGATCGGCTTCCAGCGCATCGAGCTCGGACAAAGCGGTGGACGCGTCTAGCTCACTGGCGGACAAGGGCCGGAGATTCTCGGGTTTCAGGTCCTTGATGCTGCCGCCCAAAAGCTTCACCCGCCAACGCGAAGACTCCGAGACGAAAGATTCCACCTCGCCCCTGTGGCCATTCAACTCTGGGGCTGCCTTGAGACCGTGAAGCATTACTTTGCAGCCTGCAGCCAAGGCTGTGAGCTTCAACGGCTCTTCCGCAATCTCCTTGTAAGCAACCTTTGGTTGGACCTCCAAGTCCTCAAGGTCAGGGCCAACCCAGTCTGTAGGCGGCGGCCGGTCTGCCGGCTCCTCAATCTCCAGGTTTTCTGCTTTGAAGTCGTGCGACTTTCCACTAATCAGCAGGCGCACTCGCCAGCGCTGCTTCGTCCGCACATAATCCTCGACGATTCCAGCCTGTCCATTCCGCTGCACGTGCAAGGCCTTCAATCGCACCTCACATGTGCGGTCACCAGGATCACGAGTTACAAGAAGCCACAGGGACCAAGTCTCTTTCTAAACATTAGCCGCTGTTGCCCCGCGCCGCCTTGCAGCCTGGATGGAGCTCTTTCTTCAGAAGTCCCCATGGAAGCTGCCCCGAGCGGCGAGGTGAGCGAGAAGCCTCTCTCATGGCCCATCCACATCACCGGATCATCACCGGCAAGCTGCACGGGGGACTGCTACGCTGATGCACGGCGTCGGTCGAAACCTTTTCTCAGAACTTGGGTTCATGATGGTTGATGCGCCAGCTTTGGGCTTGGATTCAATAAGGCGCAGGCTACTCGGGACTTGACCACTACAGTACTGGGTCATGCTTGGTGCACTAAGATTCGTGTGCTGGCGGACAGCTGCGTGAACGCATGATGTGATAGTCCCCTCTGCCCCTCCGCGCCCTCTAAATTGACATGTGTCAGTCTTCAGGTCTGGGCTTGGAGCCGACTCCGACGAGCTCGCACTCGAAGAAGAGCGTGGCGTTGCCTGGGATTGGGCCTGAACGATGGCACCACATGCTCTCCGAGTCTCCACACGCATCCAACTTGAAGACCTGCCTATGCCTCGACTTCCATAGCCAAGCTTTGGTGGAATCTTCAGCTCCCTGACTTCACACCGTGGCTCGCTGGAATGCTCCACGGGAACCCGTGGCAGCTGCCTCTTGCCACCCACCCTCATCGTCAGGATACCTTCATCCCAGCCAGCAATTACCTGGTCCGACTCGTGGCACCGGTTTCTCATCCGCACAACGACGTAAGCCACGTCTCACCTGACCCTTGCCGACATTGAAGTCCAAGGGCTCGCCTTGCCACTTTGTTTTTGGGGATGAGAGCGATGTCCGCACAGACCGGCTCAGATGGCGGCCCCTTGGAATGGATGAGTCAAACACCTGTGCACTGCTGGCAACACACTTTCAAATTTAGGCGGTGATCGTGGCTCACTACACGCAACTGGGACCTGCCCGTTCTCCAGCTTACCTGTGTAATGCCTTAGATGAGTTGAGCTCACGCGATCACTCTGTCCGAGCTTGCGAGGACCCGGCACTTTTACTTTTTGTCCCTTGACCGGAGCTTCGCCTTCCCCGACGACCTGAGTTCCACCAGCAAAAACGTACAGCTTAGTTTCTTCTGAGCCTCGATTGCGCCGCAGTTTTTTTGTTGCTTCTAACACCACGACTATCGGGATCACAAACAGAACCCAAAATCGTGCATATGTCGTCTACTCACGTATCTGCTTACAATTTGGGTTCTGTCTCCGCTGCTTCATCGCAAAGGCTGCTTTGCAGGCCCGTAGCGACAGCAGTTGAACAAGCTGCTTCTTGTTACTTGGGCATTTGCGCACAGAAGGATCCTAAGCTGCACCTCTCTAATTGTGCACGAATACTGACCTTGCGACCGCAGTAGCAGTCGGAGGCTCTTCTGCAGGGCCACACCCGCAGTCAGTCGCTGTTCAGGAGTCCTGCGCGACAAGCTTCGTCCACAATTGGCTACTGGTTTCAACTCGATTTGCGAACAAGCTCGCATCTGTCGAACCACATGTCTACGGTGTGAGTGTAGGAATACGTGTAGAACACGGACTCACGACCAGTGGTGCTCAAAACTTGGATTGCCTCCAACCCTACAGTCTCTGCAATCCCCTGATGGTTTCTATACACAGTGTTGGAATGGTTTTACCAGAAAGTCTGATCAACCTTTAGCCTAGCTTGTGTGACGTCCTGCAAGCGACCCTAATCAAAAAGTCTCAAGTCTCAAAACCGACAAGGCCCTGGAATGCTACGTTCTCGAACCCTCTCCCTCTCTCTAACCCTCACGACTGACCCTCTCCCTTCTCCTCCCAGGCATATGGGCGAGCCAGGCCCCCGGGGGCATGACCCTCTCCCTCCCCCACGCCCCAAGCACCTTCTTGTAAATCCGGTCTTCGCCCGTATGGGGCCAGGCGGTGTACAACTGAACCCAGCAGCTGAACGTTGCTGCGCCATGATAAACACGATGCATGATTGACCCTTGTTTCTCTAGGATACAAGGATCGCAAACGCGGTCCTGAAGCTCGCTCTTTCTTCCGTGTCAGAGGAGCGAACCCCCCCACTCCTGTGCCCTCTCTCTCTCTTCCCTCGAGCATAGGGACGAGCTAAGCCCCTCGAGCATTGGGCCCCTTCTTCAAACGTTCAGGAAGGAATGAAAATTCAGAGAGGACTGTGCGGACTGCTTCTCGCGGTGATCTGTGCAGAGGGATGAGACGAACCTCACTTCGAAACGGTAAAGGAACACTGGGTAGAGGGCGAGTTGAGCCTGCCCTGGTGTGCACAAAATCCAGCTCCAGGTCTTCACCGAAAACCAGTCTTGAAATGCGAAATGCAGTCAAAGCTTGTCTCTGAAACACAAGACTCACAAGGCGCTCCGCGCCGAGACCAAGCTCCAGCCGCCTCTCGAAGCGCTCGGAGTCAAGAAGCTGCAGCCTGGGCTCGAATACTACAGCCTGCAACAAACCTACCTGAGAGGGGATGGGTGGAATAAAAATGCACATACATCGACCCATGCATGCAAACATACATGCATCAATCAGACCCGCATACATACATGCATAGGAATACATGCATGCACGCACACATGCATGATAAAACTACATACTTCCTCATCTTCCTTCCACTATAGCAATCTATGGTGGATCTATGGGCTCAGATGCTGTTAGAACATAAAGAAAAGGTTCGGTGGTCAAAGTCAAGCTTAAGCTTCAGCAAGCGAATGATACAAAGCCCCACCGAGTCCTCGGCGCTTTCTTGGTCCAGACAGACTGACCAGGAACTCTGTCCTGTGAGCCGGACAAGAGGCAGCAAGGCTTCGACTCAGCTATCGTAGACCCTACACCAAGTACCGCCTCCTATGATCTCAGCAGTATACACACAACACAAAGGCACTTGCTTGCATCAGGTCCTTCCGGTGCATCACCCGGTGCACCCACTGCATGCCATCGTCTCGACGTTCCAGAGCTCCCTCGAAGTTCTCCTTTTGAAGTGTGAGAGGTGAGGTGGCTTTGGTGATGTGGTGAAGCGATAAGTTGCACTGCATCCTCGAGGTAGCGGTGGAGGTCCACGGCACCAGCAGACCGAAGCCTCAGAAGTGGTGTAAGCTCTGTAAATCACAGCATGGAAACTGCCCTGCAAGAGACATGCACGGCGGCACCCTTCCGTATCCTCCCGTGAAGGCATCACTCCCGGTCTGCGGGCCCGACGTCTCGTAGGCCTTTCGCCTGAAATCACTGCTACGACTGCTACGAGACGGCAGATGCAGTGTGTCCATGCGGTCGGAACTGGGCACTATTGCAGGCAAACAAACGATCAAAACCAGAAGCCGTGAATCGTCCACCAGCGGGGCGCTGAACTGAACTGGACTTACGACATTAGTTGAGTACCACTCGTGGTGAACGACCCGAAGCATTGCAACACGAGGGCCAAGACAGTTGATTCATTACAGTTGTATGCTGACGGTATGCTTGATCCTACTGGGGTAGCTTAGTTAATGCAGGCTGCCAAAGTGGGAAAGATGACAGTGCAAAGCGACTGAACGACGCGATTATGGTAGTCCAGCCAAATACAAGGAGTAAAGTTTGAAGGTACGAGGGGTGCAAAAGGCGTATGAGCTGATCAAAGGCCAGGCTACTGGAGCCATATGCCATAGGCATGTCAACAAATCCTGTCGATCATCTCGCCAGCATGCATTGCTGCATTACCATATGACTTGCTGCTGCCATTTTGGTTGATCGGATCACTAACTAATAATACGACCTACACGCGCAAGATATTCGTAAGCTCAGGGCTTGGATCTGGGAAGGTGAGCTTCGATGTCTTTGAAGAGGGCCGGCACCTGATGTTGCTGAGGCTGCCACAAGTTCAAGGATGAGTTGCCAGGTTGACATCGACATTGGATTTGAAGCCAGCAAGGAACCCTTGCTTGCGTCCGGAATTCGAACAAGAACAAGCAGCTAGCACGGCGGCCGTGTGCCGAACACGTAGAATGCAAATGCCAAGTTTGTTGCCTCTGCGTTTCCTGTGGATGTGCGCGAACGTGCGGCGTGCTTGTTTCCCTGCTGAACATCCTTGAAAACGTCGCTTTGCATGTACATTGGCTGTCCTAGCCGATCCGATCTCGTGGCCCCCCGGGCCCAGCAAGGGCCTCCCGAGCAGCCAGCAGCGCTGGCCCCGGATCTCTGGCGACGACCTCTGCAGGCGTCTCCTCGACGACCTTCTCGTCCTCCTCTATGGGAAGACACAGTGAGAGGGACAGGTGGAACGACAGAGGGAAAGAGAGTGAAAACGTCAGCAAAGTTTTCACAGAGACAGAGAGATAAAGCGGTGAGGGAGGGAGCGAGGGAGTCACGTGTACCTTACCTGCAACTACTTGGCTTTTCAATCAGCAGCCCGACCGTTTCGCTCAAGATGCGGATCCTGCCAGAACTCTGACTCCAGGTCCCGCTGCAGCATCGAGTCCGTCTTGGCTACCTCCCGGCACTCGCTGGCAGATCAAGGGTTTATGGTTGAACAGGGTGGACAACTGCCGCTAGACGTTTGCAACATCTCTACTCCCATCAGCGGCGATGAAATCTACGAGTACCTACCGTCGAATCATGGCTTGCTTTAGGCTCATGCTGTCTCAATCGCTGTACAGTATGCACGCTCTTCTAATGCACGCGGCCTCCTCCAAAAGGTTGGCCATGTTCACAGAACCTCCAGTGAAAGCCGTGGCCGAAACATCCTCGTTTCCGGTGCTACCTGACTCTACCTTGTACTACTACCACGAAGGTTCCCGGATAGCAGCTCGGGACGGAAAAATCTTGTCGAATGGCTGCTCAACAGCAAAACAGCAAGCTCGAAGCACCGACAATGCAACTTCTAGCGCCGCGTAACAGCGGTAGCAGAATCAAGACGAAGCAAGAGAGCGACAGAGGGAGAGAGCGAGTCGGTTGAGCGCGGCACATTCATCCAACGCTTCTGCAAGTTTCCTGTGCAGGGATGGGCTTCATCGTGTGTGTTTTCAGGGCGACAACCGGCCAGCAGCAGAGAAAGGAACCCCAATTTGTATGCGAGAAGATCCCCAAGTCGTTTTTGGGGTGTTTGGACAGCCGCTTGGAACATGTTGCGGCAAGTAGTTTCAATTTCAAGCCATGCGACTTTGGCCGGTCCCTGCAACCGGCAGCTATTATGATTCTGCGGCTGGCACCTCCGTATTGCCCCTGCACCAACCATTTCAACATGGGACCCCGTCTGCCGCTCCCAGATTGACGTTTGCTAAACGATCTTGCGAAACCCAAACGCGGTTTTCGCTGCGTGGCCTACTTAAAGTGTATTGGGTAAACCACAACTCCCACAAGCCCTACCGAGCAAGCTCTCGTGACCAAGTGGCAGAAGGTATGCACACTGCAGGAGGAGCGAGAGTCGTGTACGGAGACAGAGGCAGGACAAGAAATGCACTTATGGATATCTTCCAGTAGTTTAGTAAGAGTAGCTTCTGCTCTGCTTGTAGGAAACGTGCTGAAGTCTCAGGCATCGACTACGTGAAGAATGCCTTGCTGATGTTGATTTTGTGCATACAAAAGGTGTAGAAACATACGATGTGGAGTATGGAAAGCCCGCTCTTCCACACAAAACTTTGGATTTCATTGCCTTGGAACAGTCCTCGGACAAATGCTGTCACACAGTCACTCTCCCAGGCTGCACACCACACATCGGCGACATGATCTCCAGAACCCTAAGGAGCCTAAGGAGTCTTCCGTATCGTGCACATCTGCATCCCCGCCAAGGACGTGTGCATTGCAAAGTCCTCGGGACAGAGTCGGGAACGAAGGAATCGAGGTTCCTGAGCTCAAGCTGATTGGAGTTCATTTGCCATGAATGGCGCATCACATGCACGTGTTGTGACCAACCGGCCAGCTTTGGCATGTCCGACGCTGCAGGACAAGCTGCTCAAAAATTGCTTCTGGTTCTTTGGGAATGACAATCTCCACCTGTGGAGCCTGATTCTGATACGCACAAAGCCACCAGTATCACGTGTCTTTCAAGAGCTTTCGGTGCGAACAACCCTAGGTCGACCATCAGCAAGGATCTTCATAGGGCACAGTATCGGCGTGTTTGCTGCATCATTGTTGCAGTGATCGTCAAGTCATTTTGCGGTCACGCACTACTCATCTCTAGAATCATTGCAACTGGATCTGGGAGGCGTCAAGGCACCGGTTGGTTCAGCTTCGCTGCCGCCTTTGCCCCTCTCGAGGCCACATCCTGACGCGCTGAGCTGATTTAAGATGGCTGCGAGCTTTCGTGAAGGATCTGCACTGAATGCACGAGGCCCTAACAGAAGCACGAAAGCATTCATGCACTCAGATGAGCCCTGTGTTGGAAGCTGAAATCAAAGGCGACAGCTGCAACTTCGACATACTTCGACCCTTTCGGAGCCACGTGTCCAGCGTGTTGGCCATTTGGTCGGCGAGCAAGACTCTTCGCTCCTCGCTGTTTCTGGGTTCAAGAGACGCCTGCTCTTTGCCAATGTCTAAGACACTCTAAGACTCTAAGCCTCCTGGCCTTGCTGCTCCAAGAGATCTTCTCCTGCCCCAACCTCGCGGGCACTAGCTCAGAGCTGGGGCCAGGCCCCACTGCGACAGGGCAGGGCCCGGACATCTCCTCGATCTCTCCGAAGACGACGGAGGGCGTCCTCGGCCTCGTCTCCTTCTTTTCCGTCAGCTGGATCCCAAGCCTGGCACTTTTGCGGTCAGCAAAGTGGAAGCTTAGGCCAACAAAAATCAACACTCCGACAGAAATGGTGTCAGCGTGCCTCTGCTCTCGCCTAGGCATCCAAAGGACGACAGTCTGCCAGCGCTTGTTTCCATGATTCGAGCTCAATCTACCAGACCGCCCTGCGTGCATGGCTCAAAAGCCCATATCATCCATATCGGTGCCAGTGAGTCTGTTAATGTGGCAACATGACGGTTCATGCAGCTCGTGCAAATGATTGCAAATGCAGATTGGCTACTAAGGAAAATGTCTCAGTGGTCTGTATGAGTGCACGCCATAGCAGATTCACAAATATTTTATTGATTGCATCTCAGGCTCAAGGCGATGTGTGCAGGATCCAGGCGATGTACCACTCGTATGCGAGGAAATTTTTGCGGACCTGGACCTGGACTGAAGGCGCAGCAGAGGCAAAGCAGATTGCCAAGCTTGGGCTCTTGGGCTCATGCCAGGGAGTCTTGGCAAACTCCGAGACTTCTGCATGCTCACGGCCCCACCTGCTCAGGCAGAATCCACGCTCAGACACGAGCTCAGCTGCACACACACGTCTCGGAGGCCCAGGCGTGGACAGAACTCTTCGAGTTGTCCGTGGGAGGGATCAATCCAGGCTACATCGAGCACATGGCCCAATCTGGTCTTGATCCATACAGCTACGCGCGACAGACTCTCAAAGTGAGGCTGCAGGGCCAGAAGGAACAACTCACCCGGTCACCATAAGTCCAGGGCAAGGTCACGATACTGAAGGCCGGAGGCAGTTGTGGTCCAAGGCGCCTGCAACCAGGAGAGACGTCTGCATAGGTGCAGAAAAACCTGCCGCGAAATCATCGTTTTTTTGTTTAATGCAAGAATGCTGCACAGCGTCACAAGCTGGCAGCTTGGTGCGTCGGGCACCTCCTCTGTTGAAAGTGAGCGCCTGCCGGCCAGTGGCAGGCTCAGCACCTTGAGCCGCAGCGTTGCGGGAGCCGGCTTCCGTTGTAGTATTGCTGATATATTCTGACCGTGCGAATAGGGCATCCACCGCAGTCGCAGCAAGCGGCTTCAGCCTGGATGCAGCGCCGAACCTGTTGCACCTGGGAAATACTCCGCAGCATTCCGCAGCAGCTAATTGCATTCAGAGCCTCACAGATTCAAATTTAAAGGTTGACCAGAATTCTAGCTGCTAGCTCAAGCATGGAGCAGCCCACGGCAGGACAAAGCTGCCACGGCCCGGGTCGTTGCAGACGGCGCCAGCTTGGCCTCTGACACAACGGCCTACTCCCAACACAAGCTACGTGCATGCCTTCTTTGTTCATTCATTTGCAATCTAAAACATATCGCCGGCACGAGGGAAAGCTGTCAGGCCCAGCCTTGCCAAGACCCGCCCAAAGCGAGCGCGGCAATTGCCACATCTGAATCCCACCGGTCCTACCGGCTCCTACGGGGTCCTACCGGTCTTGCTGGGTCCTTCCCAGCTCCAGCTCCTGCGGGCAGCGAGCCAAAGCAGGCCACGGATGGCCACGGGGCCACGGTAGAACTCGGTTTCTCAATGATGACCCCTCACGCAGACTCGTTCTCCGCCGTCGTCATGCACCCGATATCATTTCTTTTCCTTATGACATGCGCATGCTTTGGGCAAGATGCCCGCCAGTTAAACTGAATTTACAAGCTCAGCAGAGCTCCGATACACAAAACTAAGTTTAGGCAATAAGGCAATGTGCACCGAGACACTAAGTGAAAACGCAAGAGCATGAATAAATGATGAATGATATCTTTCCAAAAAGACAGCATCGCAATCACCACAAACACTTTGGTGCCCTCGAATTCCATCCCAGCTGCGCATGCTGCGCTGCTGGTCTAAACAGTGTCGACAAATTCCAAACTCATTCGCAGCTCGCGCTGCCCAGGTTCGCTAACGCACGATCTTTTTGGCTGATGAGCCTACTTCAGATCAGCAAATTAAATAAATTAACGAATCGCGACGCCCCTCAGCAAGCTTCCCTCAAAGGAATTGTGCCACCTCATGGTGCGCACGTGCTGTCCCTAGAGGCATCACATACACCCCGATCATTCGTAGGTTCGCTAGGACGAGAGCTCTGCAACCACTATCTGGTCTTGCCGAGACCACGGCTTTTCTCAGGATGTCTGGCATGATGTCAGAGAGTGGGCCGGCCCCTGCAGGGCTTCACAGTTCCGCGTTACCCGAAGAAAAGCACATGATTGATGAGAGGAGACAGGCTCGCCGAGGCCCGCATTCAATCTCGCTTCACTGACTTCGAGACTTTCTGACTAGACTTGTCTTTCGGTGTCGTCATGCATCGTCATACTTTAGGCTTGCCACTTGCTGCGCGTAAGGAACAGGAAGCGACAGCTTGACAGCTAATTCGCCTGGTGTTTGTCAACGCAACTCTCTTGTTTCATTAAGTCTCCTTCTAACTTAAGCTACTGTGGCGGAACTTGTAGTGTTGATTGGAGCGGAACAAGGTCAAGCCTGGACGTTCCGACTTCAGCCGTATCGTAACGCATTCTAGAAGTATATAGCTTATGCGACAGTATACGACTCTACGCAGAGGATGCCCGCACCAAAGATTAAATGACTCTGAGGCGAGACTAGACAAGTCTAAATGTCTTCCATGCAAGTACAAGTACTGGCTACCAAGTTGCGTCGTCTGCTTTCGCTTTTGGTGGACAGTATCGGAAGCTGCTGAGAAAGTCTTACCAAAAGGCAAGCTTTCTGCTCGAGCATGGCCCTGCCCCAAGTGGCAAGATTCGTATGAAACTCGGATTCGACCCACCCCTCTCCCCAGACTTCTGGGCTGTTTGAGATGGTCAGACTCTGCCTCTGGAGCGTATCCAGGCAAGCATCCGAAGCCGCCACCTGCGAAGCCAAGGCCCAGGGGGTGAGGAGGTGCATCCGACGAGGATCGCTGAGCCGAAGACCAAGCCGTCCACTTAGACAGCAAGATTTGGATTTCAGGCACCAGCGCCTTAAACACGGCAAACGGATGCTCGGTGGTGCCCACAACTTGCCTTGAGTCCGGGACCGCATCATCACTTATCGGAGAGCCTGTTTATGCGCACGAAGATGAAGCACACACTCGCATTCTCAACATCTCTCGAATGGTGCGCAACGACATCTTGGTACATCTTCACTCCTTCAGTTCGTTGGAAAGTGGCTTCCCCACCTCAAGACACTAGTGGCTGCATCCAGGTACTGCAGAGGCTCCCCGAGTCTGGCACTTAACCCTGTGGGACACGCGCCCCACTTCAAAAGGACCTGCAAGGCGAGGCCAGGTTGAGACATGATCGAGTCGTAGACTCTCACAGCTCGAAGCAATGGCCTCCACCAGGCTCAAGGACACATCCACGCCCAAGAAGTTGCTTCCTGCATGTGTCGCACTGTCAGTGCCAGCCACTCGCGTGATTCATGTGGCGAGCCACCTCTTAGCGCCAGATCCAAGGGTGCCTGGCGGACAGTCGCGCAAAAGGCAATACGCCTTCCCTTTAACCCACCTCGGAGAAGGAATTGCGGGAGTTCGGATCTGCGCGATGCCTCCGCGAAGCTTAGATCGCCTTGCTCTCGAGTTCCACTTGCAGCCTTAAGGGGCCTGAGAAGAAGCTCCACGATCCCAGCATCTGCTAGTCGGACGGCATCATGAAGCGGTGGGCTGCCCTGCGATTCGCGCAAGTCGACAGAACGGTTTCCATGAGAAGCCGCCTCAGCATCGCTGCGCCGAAGCTCCGGATCGGCTCGCGCATGAAGGAGTAGCTCCACCATCTGAAAGCTTCATGCTTCATGCCAGAAGGTATTTGTCAGACGCTCCGCTACGACCAGTGAGAACTGCAAGATTCAAACAGTCTCCGTTCCTGCTGCCGCTCGCTGGCGCGTACAAGGTTGGAGGAGAGCGCAAGCTGCAATGGAAGCCTGAGGTCGTCAGTATTGTCAGGCTCGGCCCTTGTCGAATGGGGGTAGGTCTTGAACACTCTCCGAAAACTTCCTGAGAGTGGGTCTCGCAGCCCCGCTCCAACGCCCGACAACGCTCGTTGGGTTCAGCCTCGGGCCACTACAGCTTCTTCAGAGCCACAGTGTGTGTGGACCGAGGGTCCGGCCATGTTTTGCAGCAGGAGCCGCGTTGCAGCACAGTTGCCCTGCATGCAGCGCCACATCACGTTTATTGTAGAACTCGTCGTAGCTTCCCCGTCCCGTGCCGCTACTGAAACACCACTGGAAACGAAACCTGAAATGGCCACTCCTCCAGCGGCATGTTCGGATGGCTGGCACCCGTTTGAAACACAAAGTAATGCCACACAATAGCAATGGAGATGCAAACACCTGATTGAGCCCGTTTCTGCCATCGATCTGCAGCGATCCACAACACACCCGGCGACCCAGTTCAACTCCATTCAGATCCATTCAGTCATTGGGGTCATCTGTCACTGCTTCCCCACCAGACCAGACCAGACCCATCCTTGCTGCATATGGCTGGCAGACAGAAGCAGGTCGAGCAGCTTGAGCATCACGGCGCAAAGCCAAAAGGCAGTTTGGCTTCTTGGTGGGACCAGGTCGACGGTTACGTGTTGGAGCTGGCAAGCTGCGCTTTCAAGAGATGAGCTGTTGACGCCCAAACCGCAGAATCTCGCCGCAAATGCTCGAAGTGACCCTCTCCTGGAATTAGGTTGCAAATGCACTGATCTGAATCACTGTACTGCCGCAGCGCCGATTGAAAGGCCACACTTTGAGCAGTTGGTACTATGTCATCGCGCTGACCGTGGACAAGTGCAAAGACGGGTGCACCAGATGTCAGCCGGGCAGCTGGTACCTTTCCCAAAAGTTCTGTCGGATCGGCCCTCGAGTAACGCAGATCAGCATCATCTGCCGGGCTTGCGACAACGTCCAAGACAGCGCCGTTGGAAGCAGCCAACATGCGAGAAGCTGCGGATGTTGGTGGTGTGCCAACGAAGTCGCGAACGGCACTTCTACCAAGATTTGCCTCATAAGCTCCCTTCAGATCAAGAACACCCGCTTGCGCGACCACGATCCGTGGCTTGATGTCGCTCGACACGTCGAAGTCGGAGCGGTCCAGCAGACCCTGGATGCCCAGCCAGGCTGCTAAATGGCCCCCTGCGGAGTGCCCAACTATTCCTATCGGGAGACTTGGGTGAACTCCCAGTGAAACGGCGGCATCGCTACTAATCCAGTTGAAGGCCGAAGCCACGTCTTCGAGGGTGCTCGGATAGCCGCCACCGGAGCCAACGGACCGATAGTCCACGTTCCACACGCATAAACCACTGCCGAGTAAGTCGTCTGAGATGTCTACCATGAGGCTTCGGTCGAAACCTGCCTTCCAAAAGCCGCCATGAATCAACATCACTACGCCCTTCGGCTTGTCGGAATTCGGCTTTACGAAATCACCGCTTTGCATGCTGCTCCTGCCATACTGAGCTGTGTGCACAATGAAAGCACGGTCCCAGTTTGCACAAACGAAAGCACAAACGCCAGAGAGCAGACGAAGCAGTCCAGCGCGAAATCTGCACCGGGGATCATGACGAGCCATTGCCGAAGTGAGACACTGTGTCTCTGCGTGAAGTTCTGCGAAGACTTGGGCTCAAAGGGATTCTTTAGAATTGAGCTTGTCAGCCAACACAGGACGCATCGCACAAAGCGTGGAGTCTCAACAGCAGGCCCAGGCCCAGCCTGGCGAACTGCTTCATGCAGAGCCTGAGCAGATGAGGGCTCAAGGTGCTGTGCGGCTGTGCGAGCTCATCACCACGATCGCAACTGCAAGCGCAGTCAGGGGCCTCCTCACGGCTACTCGCAACTAAGTACGCAACGTGATCGCGGGGACACGCATGTCGACGCCTCGGAAAAGGGAGACTGCCAGAAGCCTGACCATGTCCTTATACTGAGGCATCGACTGCAACGCTACTCGCAGAAGCTCTGCCGACCTCAGGATGCGCTCAATTGACCAATGCCAGGGTCGCACAGCTTGCATGGAATGCATGTATTCGCCCTGATTGTGGCCGTTCGACAATTTCGACAGTTCTCGAATCAAGACTCAGGACAAGCAACCGGTACAATAAATTCACAGAAAATCCAGAGTGCTAGAGTTTGCTACAGCACCGGACCGTGCCAGAAAATCGGAGGGCTACTTGAAATTGCCGGGATTCAGTGCGCTGCTCTGCTTGGCAAAGAGTATGTATATCCTTGATTCTCGGCCGGCTTCCGCTGCGGGCAAGCAACCTCTGTCAACTCTGACTCACCAGGCATCGTGCACTGAAGCGTTCCCTGTCTCTTGCCGAAGATTTAGCCGCCATCGAAACCATCGCAACTTCCGCAGCATGTACTTCCGCAGCATGTGCAGGACGCAGATCCCCGAAAACATTTTGCCCATAGCACGCCGGATACTTTGGCATAAAACAGCCGAAAGCACGATCATGCAAGTTGCATGGCACCGAAGCACCACCATCCCTGACAGAATGGGGCAAGGGAAGGCCGCATCCGACGTGTCGTTCCGGGCTTGCGCTTGAGGACTCTGCTGCTCTTCGAGGGCAACCCGCACATCGTCTTGAAACTCCTGGCATGCACCAGGCCATCCAAATCTACACTGTCTACACTACACAACGCAGCTGAAAAGTTGCAGGTGGTTCGGTCCTTGCTTCGTTGCCTCGAACATGGTCTCAGAGGAGTTCGAATGTCTATAAGTCTGCATGGCCTGGGTACAGTACGTGAAGCCATGCCATGCTGAAGAAAAAGTCCCGCAGAGCAACGACACTCTCGGCCCGGCGCGTGGAGATGGGCTTGGGTGTCACACCTGCAGTCAGCCCGGCGCTCGTCATGTGGTCTTCGCATGTCTTCGCACAGAGCAGCTGCAACACCACATCGACCCCGCCTCCCGACCCAGGTGTGGAAAAGAGCATGGCAGCAGGACTGCCCCGCTGCCTCGGCAGGCTTCTTGAAAGCTTGGCACTTCTCCCACAAGTAACTACCACGAGGCCTCGTCAATTACTGGCCTTCACCGAACGATGAAATTGACTGCATCTTTCTCTCAGGCTGGCCTCTTCTTTGCCGCTGAGTACTAAACATAGCAGGCATCTTACCCGCCACGTGAAACCGAACGATTATCCACTGGTAACTACGTGCTCCGCGCAGGGTCTGTGCGCAACTTTAAATATTCTTTCAATCTGGTCTCGACGCGTTTCTTGACTTCGGCTTGCAGCAGTCTGGCCATCTTGTCGAAATGCCATGAGTCGCCGAAGGCGCGCTTCGAGTCCTGCTCGGAAGCAGGAGCCAAGGTAAGGTCCGTCGGTTCTCCAAAACAGCCCTCCGAAGCCCTGGAGGGTGCCTCAGCTGCCTGAGCCCAAGCCGCTTCAGATCCCAGCGGAGGGAATCCGAAGGCACTGCAGTAGTGGTTGAAGTAGTAGAGATGTGACAGAGACCTGGGCTGCGGCTACGACCAAGGCAGACAAAATGGCAGCTTCCCAGCCGCCAAAGCCCAGGGCCTCTGTGCATCGTGGACCTGGTTGAAGACCTCCTGGCGGGAGTTCTTGTGCGTCAGCTGGAGGTGGAGCCGTCGTATGGATGCTGCCTGTGCATGGAAGCGCACTCAGCTCCAGAGTCTACGCGCGTCTACGGTCTACGTACACACGACCGTGCTGCAGCTGCATTCGCAAGATGCTTCAAGGCAATCTTCAGGATTTGTGAGTAAAAAGCAAGCAGCCTTATCCTCAAGAGACAGGCGCCTGGTTGACACTGTCAATACAATCCTGGTACTGCTGCTCCACCTCCGAAACCATTCCTTTCAGCTCCTGCAGTCGCTATTTCCAGGCCCGAAAGAATGTAAAAAAAGGCAGGCCCCGGTACCCAGGCTCCTGGCGTGCTGTATTTGCTTGCGATCGCAGCTTCTGGAGCTGCTTCTGAAGTCTCAAGACGCTGTGTTCCATCACGTCAAGATGCTGTCCTCAGAGTGACGAAGACACTGCAGAGACCGGATCGACAAGACTCAGCGCTGTTGTGAAACGCTTTTCGAGTCGAGGATCGGCTGTTTTCGACCTCTTGCTCCATTTTGATCGCTGCGGCCTCCGCGACCTGCGTGCCTTCAGCCACACTCTATGATCTCTATTCGACACTGTAACGGCTCCTCAGCCGGAGACCGCTCAGACATGAACACCCAGTACAAAACCGCCTGTTATGCCGAGCGTACATTATTCAGGCAGTCTCTCTAAACCTGATTGAACCGCAGGACATCCCCTCTCCACTGATAAGATAAGCGGCACTGTTTCTGCAAGTGGTCCACCTGAAACAGCACAACATGAACAATCCTAGGAGAAGACTGCGAATTGAATAGATACATACTGACGCAACACAGCTTTACCTGCACCTGACCGCCACTTTTTGCCGACCCCACCCGACCTGCAGAAACTCGGCCACCTCCGCTGGGCTGATCATGCGAAGGATCCCAAAAAGCAGCTCCGAAACTCTGCAATCTCCATGGTTGACCTTCCGAGATACCCGGGCCGGGATATGCTGACCCCACAAGGCTCTGAGATCTTAGCCGCACTACTACAATAACTACTACCTACAGACTACAAAACTCTCAGATTCCCCCTTCAAACCTCGAACAAGTGATCGTAGAGCTGGAGGATTTCAGTCACTGACAGGCTTAGAGCTCGGAGCTCGTTGTTCTGCAGCTCCTGGAGGGTACTCTCAAGCCTGTCCCGGGATTGCATCAGCCACTCAGCCCAAGAGTCGTCTGTTGCACCATTTCGACATGCAGCAGCTTTCAACGAATGCTCAAACCGATGGAGGCCCAGCAACCTCCTCCTCATCTGCTTGGACCTATCGTACTCGCGGTATTCCGCAATCCCTTTGTCAGCAAGCTCGTGAAAGAGGATAATGGCCGCATTAGCTGTAAAGAAGGCAAGCGATGAAAGGACGATGACAAACGCTAGCGCAACGGCAGAGGCGGTCTGAGTTCCTTCCAGCGCCAGTCGCGAGGTAATGCGCTCCCAGTCCATTCCGTAGCAGGCAAGATAGAACTGCGTCAGCACAGAGGATCCGAAGTCGCTGAATTGGATGGGCTGGGTGGCGGTGTTGCTGAAGACGAGATACCAAACAATTGCGAGGAAGCTCCAGATGCATCCAAGGATGAGAAAGATGAACACCGGAAGCAGGCCCCCGAAGCAAGCCTTTACAGCGCTAGCTGACTCGGGCATATTCAGCGACTGCAGCCCTCTGAGAAAGCGAAGAACATGCAGGATCAGCAACGTGAACTGGCCTCGCGGAAACTGATCCGAGATTGATGGCAGCAATGCTTCTACGACAGAAGCCAGCGCGAGGACAATGTCAAGCACTACGAAACCAGATTGCCAGAAATAGCGGTGTGGGGCCGCAGCGATGCGAATAATCAACTCGAGGATGAAAAAAGCCATGTAGCTCTCCGACACAGTGTACCAGAAGTCTTCGCTCCCTGCTTTGTTGGCAACCTGTACAAGTGCGATGCAGTGCAGCAGGAGGAAGGCCCAGCAAAGCAGCCCGAAAAGCACGGAGCGTTCAGCCCTGTCGCAGAACTTGTAGCAAAGGGCTTGAGTCCGAGGACATCTTTGGAAGAATCCTTGCTTGCTTGCCGCAGCAGGCATGTACTTCCCTAGTCTCACACACTAATCGCTAGGGACAACGAATGCCCTATGAAGACAAAGCGTGCTCACAGTGGCAGCCTTGCCGGCAGGATCTAGATCAGCCCTCTTGTGACGGAGGCTGAATTAACTGTTCGTTTCGCATTTGCGACACTGGCCCCCAGCGTTTGCAAATGTGCTGAAGTGCCGTTTGTCATTGGCGGCACATACAGAAGAGATCTGTTTACTGGCCTGGCTTGCCGTGAAGTTTGGGTGGCAGCTCGAACGTGCGAATTCAAGAATATAACATATATAACTTCGGGTTTACAGCCGCATCTCGCAACAAGACAAGCTCAACGAGGACACAGCAAGTTCAGGCTACCTCTCACTGCCACAATTCGAATGCAGCACGCAATAAAGCAGCTCAACTGAAGCCCGTCAACATGACTGTTTTTGCAAGGTTTGATTCCCAAGGCTAAAAGTCCACTTGTGTCTAGCTGGAGCAGAGCCTGTCGTGTAACCTGAGGGGCCGGTCTTTGATTTCGAGTTTGGAGCCGTGGCTGGGGCTAGAAACACAGGCCGGGTGCTTGTTGCAGACACGCATCTGGAACATAACAAAGAACCTCCCCGAAAGCCATTCTGACAAGACTCCTCCGGACACATCGCCTTCGAGAATGCCGGTCAAGTCGCGCTTGTCCTTTCCTCGACGCCGTGGATCGGCCCCGCCTTCCACATGTGCTTTAATCACTTGGTCCAGGAACTGGTTAAAGCTTGCTTCATCCGTTTGGACATGCTTGGCTAGGCCCCTCGAGGTGGTCGGTGCGAACATGGTGTCGGTATACTCGCTGACACCGCTGGCGAGAGTGGTCAGAGTCGTCATGGTCACAGCCGTCTGCCGCGCTGTGGTCGCTGCAGCTGTCGCCGCGGTCTGGGCCAGTGCTCCGCCAAGCTCACCGATGTGGGAAATTATTGAAACTCTTCGGTTCGGACTACGCCGCACCGCTTCATTCGTCTCAGTCTCCTCCTCACGGGAAGGCCCTTCAGATTCTAGTGGAGAGTCCTGGATGGTTGTGGCGCGGTCTGATGCCTCTGACGTCTGCAAGTCATCGCCATGGCTCCCACTTTTGGGCTCAGTCATGGCAGGCTCTGCGGAGTTTCCTATCCCTTCACGTGAGCCCACGAAACAGCAACGCATGAAGGAGCATCGCGCTTTCCTTGTACGACACGTTTGGAAGTTCCAGTCTGGGCTTCTTGCGATTGTCCCATGCCGAGCTTTCCTGCGACGCATCATCCGCATCCCGCTTTGATCGTAAAGTCGTAAAGTGGCAGCTTGTGGCTCGTGGCTTGTGGCTTCTGCTTTGCCTAAGCGCCAGGGGCCGTAGCTTGGTTAATGGACGCATTCTGTCTCATACTCTTCGCGGCTCATGCCAAGCACGAAATCATGCGAAACCCCTACGTGCAGTTCAGCCTTTTTGCGGCAGATTCTCCGGAGTAGCGAACTGGCCAAAGACCTTGAGTCGCTCAAAGCACAGCAGTGCACGAGGCGTGGCACGCTCAGCTCACCTTCCCGAAACCCACCCCAGATTCAACATCGGACCTGGTCGTCAATAGCCATTGGACTCTGCACCTGGCAGAGAAATTTCTGACAGTGCCCCGAACAGGTGTTTCGTTAGATTGCCTCTATGGAAGCACTCAAGAGGCGACATTGGCCAAGTCAGCGCTTGCAAAGTCTCTCCCCGAAATAACAACTTCACCAATCCGCCGGTGAGAGTTCTGGATGCCCGTTGCTCCGTTGGACTGGGTGAGACATTATTGTCACTTTCCAGTGTTTCGTTTCTTTCGTATCCTGTGTAGAGCTCTGGGATCCGTACATCGGGTCCGTAAGTCAACCCCATACCCCCGCTGCCCTACTTCATAAGGACAGGGCCAAAACAACCGCTCTCTCGCATTCCCGATGACTCCAAAAAAAATGGAGTCAGATGGAGTTTCGTGTCTTATCTTACACTGACATGAATGACCTGCGGCTCTTGTCTGTTACATATTTAGCCACTTAAAATGCTGCAGCTTCAAGCGGGACGTCGCCTGCCACGCTGGGCTACTGCCGGGAGCGCTGCCCTGCGACAGCCGCCTCGCTTGCCTCGCTGGCCTCGGGATCTCGCGCCGCACAGATCAAAGCCCGTGGATCGTGAAGGAAACATTGCAACACGCAAGTCTTGACCCGTTGGTCGTGATGGGTTGTTGCCTCGTCATGGAGGTCCGCATTCTCTTCTTATCTGCTGGTCTTGAACTCCAGTTCGAGACGGCCGTTCAAGCTACCCGAAACGGAAAAGCGGTCGACTGATTCTCAAACACCCCGGGACCCAACATGGTCTGATGGGTGGCAAACCAAACTCCTTGAGGTGGGTAAGTGTTGTGGAGAACCCTAGATTGAAAACCCCAAGAGCGGCGATTGGCTCTGATCTTAAACAAGCTACAACTTTTAACTAACCCGAAAATCAAAAAAAAAAAAAAGATTCTGATAGGAGGCAACACAAACCCTAAAAAACACAAGATATGGCTAGGCCCAATCTACAACCCAAAAGCAAATGTAGGGCCTAGCTGCAAAGAATCAGTAGTTGGGTCGCAACCCTAGGGATGACTGCTTTCCAAGAACTGTGTAGTCCGGATGACAGGTTACCACAAGCCCACGAGCCTAGTAGGATGTTGAACTTGCCTGCAACCCGGGCATGCGCGCTGGTGAGACCCGTGCCTCCCTTCCAGTGTTGTTTAGGGTTGTGGCAAGCGTAGTCACGCAGGGTAGTTTGCTTTGATTGCTCATGGGCGTTCAAAGTGGTGGCAACCGTTCAAGGAGTGACGGTCGGAAAGCATTAATATCCCAAAAGGGATGAATCCTTCACATGAAGCCCAAACCCCAATCGGGGATGTTGGACCCAAGCCCGGAACCTTTAAAACTTCAAAGGCGATAACGGGTGCCAAACTCCTACACCTGGAAAGGGTGACTGGGTCCACCCTGGTAACGGTATGCTGTAGCAAGCAAAACAAACAACTTTGAACAAATCCAAATACTAACGGGAGATGTTGGACCCTGAGCCCAAACCCTCTGAAGGAGATGAGGGGTGCCAAACCCTAAACCTTAAACAAGGCGGGACCCCAAACCTTTTGAAACTGGACTGAACACGACCTTGCGACCTGCTGCCAAGGATCTAACCAAGGCTGAATCATCCCTGTATTGAGACGAATGAGATCTAGACTCGCGAATGGACCACAAAACCTTTGAAACCATCTTTCTTTCTTTCCTTCTGTCTTCCGCCGATGCTGGGGTGGGGAAAACCCTCTTGCTTGCTGGGGGCATGGAGGCCTGAAAGACCCACTGGCCCGGAGCACCACGGTCTGCGTCTGCAAAGTCTGTGTAGCCCTTCCGGGGTTGGGAGTTTTCAGGTGTTCCTTTGCCCCGCTCCCTCTGTCTGTCAGCTCCGCTCAGGCTACCAATGGGCGGGAAGCGAGACAAGATCAGAACTAGTGAAAACGCCAAATCGAACAGCTAGCCAAAATTCCCAAAGACAACAACAAGAGTAGCTGTAACATAGAAGTGGTAATACCACAATGGATGGTAAAGATAGTATTAATGATCTTAACAATAAGAAGTTGTGGATCAGTATAGCCGCCATAATCATCATCACTACCAGGGTCCGCCACTTTCGTAGCAAACCCTAAAACCTAACAGGAGATGGCGGACTGAAACCCCTACATTCCTAAATCCAGGAAAAGGACGTTGATTCCCAACAGCTACTACACACCCACGATGGAGGGGCAATCCCTCAACCAAGAACGGGACACCTCTGGATCGGAAAACCACAGCCCCAGGCAGAAATGACTCCATGAAAGGATACGCAGCCCAAGGAAAACCGCACAAAGATCGTAATTGGGTGACCGCTAAAAAACCGTGGACAAGTGGACAACTTGCTGGGCTATTGTTACACCTGACCTGGTTATATATAACTACACGCTTGAGACCGGCGCGTGCTGAGGAACTCCGCTGGCTTGGACCGCCCCCTGGTGCGAAAGGAACACTCAAGATACTTTTGGAGATCTCTTCCACCTTGCATTAACCCAGTTCAACCCAGTTCTCTGTGCACAGACTCGGTAACACTCGTGGTTCATTCCGCATCACCAAATAATGTGCACGACGATTCGTGCAATCGGGTCGGTTGTGCGGGGTGCCGCGCTGCAGCATCTTCACTGCAAAGTAATGCGCGTGACGCCCTTCTACCCAATGGCTGGAAAGCCAACGGCCACATCCATGTCAAATCCGCAACTTGGCTGACAACCTATGCCAGGCAGATGGCGCGTGCCACTTCCTGGGTGGACAGGGGTTCTCTTCCTACCTGCATCAGGCCATTCACACCTACAGGTTCTGCATTGTGCTCTGCATCGAAATCCACTTTTCTGACACGTTGCATGTCTAACCCGGCCTGGAAACTGACCAGTCAACAGCAGATTTTCGTGTCTGCGATAGCTTCCTGGTTGCAAGACTTACATGTTTTGAACATGCTCCCTGTCTACACCCCATGGCCCAATGCCTGTCAATGTGTCTTTGGCAGTTGGCACTGCTTCTAGCTTTCGCTGCGGGACAGACAGCCGCTATGGCTGAGAGGTATCTAGAGTCGCACCAGCGCAATCGAAACCCGACTGTGGCAGAAGGAAACCATGGTGGAGAAGTTCAGCCAACAAATGAAGCTGCGACAACCTGACCAAGAGTATCCACCATACTATTTACGCACATCGTGGAAATTTCTATCGGCAAGCTACAGCAACGGTAAGCATACTCACGGGCACAACGTCTGCTTGCGTCAACGGCTCCAGCGCTAGATTTTGCAGTAACCGGTAGTGCTGCACAGAAGTCTTGGGGTAGTGGTGGACAAACACAGACATTTGAAACTGGAGGTTCGCATCTCTATGCAGCACACGAACTGGAAGCTCAGCCCAGGAGCTTTTGCTGCCTGGATGGCAAACTATGCACAACTGTCGAAGCTTAAACCCGTCAGAGCAGAAGCCTTCAAGGAGGATTGGCAGCTGCAGACTGAATTGGAATGCTTGGGGGTGCCAACGTCGGGGAATCGGGAGCTTCCAGGTGGAATAAGAACGAGTTCTGTGGGGAAGTAGGTCAAGAGCCTAAAGCTCTCCGCCGCGGTGCTCACGTCTGCAGCCTGCCTTAGGCTCGATGTGGCCGTCACGGTGCCGCTCCCTACTGAGGCCTTGAAGAAGTCGACTTCGCCGACTTCCCGGACTTCACCGAGCCGGTGGGTGGCCTACTCTTCTCAGAGGTACTCTTCGTTTCATCAGCTTCGGATTTCTGGCTCTGCAGCAGCGCTTCCATTTTGGCAATTGCCTTCGTACTCATGTTCCGCAGAAGTAGCATCCAACAAAAGGGTGGCTCACATATTACACTCCCGCCTCTGCTTCGGCCTTTTGCATCTCCGCCTTCTCTTCCTCCCATCTGCGAAACCACTTCTCCTCGTTCTCACACCTTGGACGTAGAAGCAAAACTGTTGTCGCCGCTGCCCTCTTCTCTCGAGCTGAGCAGCTGGATGTTCAATGCGATGAAGCCGACACCCCTGGAGGCGAGCATTCTTCAAACCACTACTTGCCGGACCTCCACTGAGCCAAGACTGCGGCACAGTTTGATGAGTTTGACGGATTCCGCTTCAAGCAAAGGTGGGGCGGAGTAGAAGGAGGCAAGCCCTTCTTAGCGCTTTTTGCTCCTTACGGCCAGGCATCGCAGAGTCTGCCTGGTGTTGAAGCTCCAGAAAGTGAATTAAACACACGGGTTGCGGCGTGGACTCGAAGGTCGGTGAAAAAGGAACAGCACTGCGCTCTGATTCTGGGCCCTGGTGCCCCGGTAACCCTTCATAGAGGGGGCCTCGAAGCTCGAGGAAGGTCCACTCCGCCAATGTTCAGTTCCAGCAAGGTACGGCATGTCCACGTCCGCTGCTATCGAAATTTTCAACGCCTTCGTGACGAACCACAACGCCAGCTATTTGCACCCGGACACGCCATGCCTTGCATCTGGTCTTAGGGCATTCAGCCGAAATTGGACCAGCTGACAGCCATTGCTGCAGCTGGCCTGGCACCTGCGAGTTTGATACGGCTTCATGCACACTGACAGTACAGCTCTCTGTGTTCTGGTGAGCTTTGAATGTAAGACACAACAATTCACGAGTCGGTGCCCAGATTGAAAAGGGTTCACCTGTGCGGTGCACGTCGATTCTACTGCCCAGATTCAGTGTCCGGGCTCCGGATGCCAATGCTCTCGCATGCGACGAGGTGGCACGCGTCTCGTCTACTGCCTGCGAGCGTGGACAGACAGCTTCATTGAGACAGCGTCACTCATTGCAGTGGCTGATGGATACTCGGCTGCATAAACAGGCTTCCAACACAAGCTGGATTTGTGGGCAAGTTGGGTCCCTCGCCCGCGGCGCAGCTTCAGGACCAACACCTCGCCAAAGCGCGCAAGGCCCCCCAGGGTGAACAAGATCTGAACTGGGAGTCGAAGGCCATGTTCTCAAGCTACACTTCGCCTAGCTGGCAATTTGAAGTGTCCTTTGTGAACCGCGAATGATTCAAGGTAGCCACCATAGGGCCCGACCGCCGATCATACCACAGCATGACGGCATCGGTTTCCGCTAAACTCCGACACACAAACACAAACTGCGCCTGATTCTTTTTGCACTCGTCAACAAGCTGAAGCACATCCTCGGTCTGTGATCATCACGGCTCTTGAACCATAACCGTGTCAGTAAAGCACGAATTAGTATTAGCAGGAAGCTGTGAAGGGAGGTCGGGGACAGCAGGTTTGCCAGGCGCTTGCGCCTGTAGCAGCATGTTGACAAGTGGTGACACTTGCATCAGTCTTGCATCTACAGCGTGCGCGTAACAGCATATGATAGCATAACTCTTTTCTGCTGGAATGCTTCCGTCATTCCGCCCTGCCAGTGTCTGACATGCCCGCACAGTCTCATGATTGCTGGGCCTCTTCCTAAACTTTTCGGCAGGCCGTGCCAATGCGACTGCAGCAGGTGCCCTTTCGACGTTGCAGCTCGTCCACCATCGAACCCGGAATCAAAGGATCAGGATGGATCAGGTTGGGGAAGAGTCGAGAACGGTATTCGCTGGGAACTACACATTCTGCCCATAATAAAGGAAGCGTAATACGCTGTACTACAAACGAATGTGCACGAGGCAGGTGGCGAGAAGTTGATGAAGAGGTCTTGATCATGGCAAACCCACAGCAAAGGACCTACAGAAGGATTGCCGTTCGGGCTAACAACCGACTAAGCTCGCGGCGCTGTTGATGCCGTTCACTTCGACGATTCGGTCCCCGACCGTGACCTTGTCCTGGCACTGCCAGGAGCTCAATGGCTGACATTAGTCGGCTTCATCAACCTTCGTTCAAACTCGGCCTAAAGGACAACCTGCGGCATACATTCGCAAGGGCGCCACTTGCAAAGAGCTGCTGAATATTTGGAGATTCAGAAAGTCGCTGCGTTAGTTTCAGCACAAGGGCCTTCTTGTTCGCATTGTTCCAATCCTTACAGCAGTCAGTCAACACGCCTCAACTCAAGTAACGCAGAGCCGGAGCTAAGCTCAGTTCCATGACGAGGCCCTCGTTGATAACTTCAATGAGAAGCGTCTCACCATCCTGTGAGATACCATCTATGCTGTGGTCCCGGGCAAAGGAACACGTCAGGTTTTGGAGTGGTATAAGGATTCACCCCGCACGTCTTAGTCTGGGAATTTGCATAGCTTCGAGAAGCCACAGTTCGAAAGCAGAAGCCGCCCAAGATGACATGTCAGCCCAAGCTATCTCGGATTCTAACACGAGTACAAGCAATGCCTGACCCTTGACAGATGGAGCGGAAGTGTCTACGGAGTCTTCTCTACTTGTTGTCTTGCATCTGGCTTACGTGCTTCACGAGGTTGCCGATAGATTCAACTTGCACGCGCATGCGCGGCCTTGTGGTCAACGTCGATGCCTAAGCGGCCACCTGCTTTCCTGTCCAACTGGATGACATACTCACCGGGTGACGCCTGGCGAAGAGAGTTTGGCACTGCGAAGCCATGAGGCAGCAAGGGCCGCCTGAGCGGCCATCGGTGCGCTCACATCCGGGCCTGGCCAGCAAGTTCAGGGAGCCCTGCTGACTTCGACGTGCCATGAGAGGCAGTCTCAGATTATCCAACATCTCCTGTCCTGGAAGATCAGGGGCACCAGGGACTGCCTCCTTGAACGAAGGTACCGCTCACATGCTGTCGAAGTTCAGCAACGAGCCGGCAAAAAGACGAGGTTTGAGAATCTGTGTCTCAGTCCTTGCGGGTGAGCTCTTTCTGCTCATGGTCGGCGCTTGCCTGCAAAATCAGGGTCAGAAGAATGCTTCGCAAACTCCTGCAAAGCTTTTGACACTTACCTTAGTCGTTGGATCCCTGGCAATGGGCTTTGAGGATTCCTTTGTCGTGCGCGCTCCATTTGGCGAGGGATAGTGCCATGGCTCGCGTGGGAATGCTTTTGATGTCAACGGTACCAGGCACAGCTGAGCTCCTTCTACGCCTTGCCTCGGCACCGGTGCAGCAGGCGGAGTTGCCCATGCCCTGAGCATCCCGGTTTCAGCATCTACTCTAGTCTTGTCTCGTGCTTCGAATAGAAAACTACAAGTCAGCTATGTCTTCAAAGCTAATGAGACCGTGCGTCTTGGGTCCCGGCGGAATTGAAGCAGCCGGTGACCAGAATGCGCTCAGTTCCACCGAAGCTCGAGCCCAACGGCAGACGCTCAGTTTTTCGTGCGGGCCTGACGGCAGCCGAATTCATCTAGGCCAAACTGTCAAGGCTTTAGCTGCGACGTTACACACTTCAAGACTGGTTACTTATAAGCTTCTAAGAGCACTGCAGATTTTGACGCGTTCACAAGAAGCTGGGGCCACCTGGATCTCCTATTCCTATGCCGGCTTGCACAAAAAACGGAGCAAGCAACAGAAGCCGAAACGTGCTGAAAGCGCAGCAGACTGGCTGCAGCATGTTGCCGCGCGCCAACTTGAGGAGTCGCTCTCAGAGGTCGGGAACAGCTTAGGGCCTAGGGAGCGACGAGGGCCGCGAGAAAAGGCCTACAGTCATCCTGAGTCGGCCCATGCTGAGGACTGTGCGCTGGTGAACCCTCAACCTTTGCCTCCTCCTACCATCACAATCTCCCTTGATCAGGGTGGACTTCATTTCTACATGGTCGTCTCATTACCCCCTGCTCGCATGCCAGTTCTTTGCAGCAGCTGCTGAGTTGTGTGTCGCGGCATTTGCAGTCGGAGCCTATTCCAGAAAACGCTAGACAGCATCTCGACTTTTGAGAATACCATTTGCTAAGTGTTCCAGGCAGATCCTCGCCGGCCATCCGCAATCAGAATTCAATCGGGTGTGGGAGCTGAGATACAACAGGCAGGTACCGGCTGCGTCATCATCGAAAGCGGTCATCTGCTATGCGAGATCTGCCAATTCGTTTGCCGCATTGGGCATTCGAGCTACAAGCTTGCTTTTATGAATTTGGAGACAGGCCAGTTCGTCGACAGCCACTCCTCAATCTGGGCGGTCACACGCCCACTGCATGCCCACGGACCTGATTAACATTGAACTCCAACTAACAATCATGAAACTTAATCTTCGGAGTCCGGAAACCCCATCCAGCGAAGTTGAAGCTAAGCATGCTGCAGGAGCTTCGGTCGGGGCCCGTCACAAAGCTTGCTAACCTGTTCTGCAAAGTGTGCAGATGCCAGAGCAGATGCTCAGTCACACGTGCTGCCGGTATAAGGAATCCCGGCAATGGCACTTGAAAACTGTAACCATGAAGACACTTAGATGCCTGACCACTTGAAGCTGTGTGATGCCCAGCTTTGGTCAAAGCGGAAGCTAGCATTGCAATTCAAGTCACTATGCTATATTCGGCCGAACCCATACTACAGTATCTCTTACTTGCAGGGTCCCTGGCCGCCTGGCCCTGAGACCCCATTCAGGCGCCTGGATGGGGTAGTTCTGTTGGACCGCTTCCACATCCAACGGTCTGGCGCGTAACGCGCACACGGCGACAGAAGCAGGCACTGCGGTAGTGATGCGCGCGTGTCTGCCAGCATCTACTGCTTCCCTTGACAGCTGCAAAGACGGCGCACGATTCAACTTGCCCAACTCAGCAAAATCTCGACAGGTCTTTTCAGAAACGGAGGTCTGAAATACGGCGCTTATCCCCAAGTCAAGTCTGGTTTGCAAGGTTGTACATGTCGGCGGCTCGGAATGCTGACCATGATGCGGCCCAGGAAGCGGTGATCGAATTCGGGAAGGTTGCTCCCGAGCCCGACCTGCTGGCAGGGGCAAAGGGGGCCCAGCTCGGGGGGAATGACATGCTCTGGAACCAAAGATGCTAAGAGCGCACAGCCGCATTTGCAGATCTGCTGACCATTTTCCCAGGCAGTGCGAGACCGCAAATCCTCGAGGATTGATTCTAATTGGCGCGGCAGCGGCCTGGGTGCACGTTCCATTCGTGCATCATACACTGATTCGAAGACAGGGGGTTGCGTAGACATTCTAGATGTTCAGCTTCTCGACATGAGGGTGTGGCTCTCGCGGTCTCTGTATGAGATTAAGCCAGGAGGCGCCACGGGTTGGAAGAGCTTGTTTGCAAGGTCCCGAACGGAAATTCGTCGACAGTGCAGGAACAAACCTTGTCTGCTTCCTCTGCAACCCTGCGATGCTTGGCCATGACACGCACTACAACAACATTCCAGCATCTGCCGTCCGGCAGCACAGCTCGGTCATTTCTCCCTAAGAAAGATATGTAGAGGCAGAGAAGACTTGAGCCTAGTCATCTGCCCTAAAGTGACAGGCGGCGCGCGCACCATCTCACCGCAAGCCCGCCCTTGGCTTTGGATCCGAATGCACTGAACCCGCTTGTGCCTCCTGCAGAATGCTATGATCAAGACTTGCGTGCGAATACGTAGGTCAAGATTTTGGCATCAGGTGGTCTCCACATTCGGTCACATCTAGATGATCTGTCAGTGGGCCGGAGCTTCGCCAAGCGGCATAGGTGCGATCACCAAGAATGGGTCTGCCGATGCCGGCCAGGTGTGTCCTGATCTGGTGCGTCCGACCTCCAATGAGCTTGCGCAAGCGGGCTCATAGCAGCATGGGAAGTGGATCTGACCTGTGAGGGGCTTGACGCGCAGAAGCGAGAGAACAGAGCCAGGATGGGCAGCATCGATGTCTTCGGGCAAAACAAAGGAATCCTGGGTTGCTTCGAACAGCCGCAAGTTCTTGCTGACACATTCTTGCAGATGAGGGGCCATGAGCTCGTACTCCGTTCGAGCCTTCCGCTGCCGACACTCCCAGCTCAAGCACATCACACGAAAAGAGTGCACTTCACGGAACAAGTGGGTCGACTGCCTCCTTGCCATGACTCGCCCACACAACTTTCAACTGTGCCACTCCTCGTGACTTCTCCGTCACGAGGCTGGCGGTAACCGCCCCTGCTGGCAATTTCAGATGCTGTGATGTGTGTCTAGACTCGTATCTCAGCTGCAAGGACTACACCGGCTCCCTCTGGCCTCGCGTGCCTCTTGCACCGAATGGTAGACCCGAGCAAAGGCAAACGTATTCCTTCGATACCTTGCCAGCAGGCTCTGAAGAGACTGGTGCACCCCGCTGCCCTGGTCTTGACCCGAAAACCCGTAGTCGTCGCCAAAGGGCCATGCGCGCAGCAAATTGGTAGTTCAACCAGTTCGAGGCAGGTGAGTCAGACTCACCCAAAGCCACTGGGATGACCCCTGAGGTGGCACCTGCATAGCAAGCCATCAAGCTTTTGCATGTCGCAAGGTGCAGTCATGCGCTCCGAAGCGAGTCCCCGGCCGTCAAGTCGTGAAGCGCGCGAGAGATGGCCAGTGTAGCCCTCTTTGGTGAGAAGATGCAACAGCCTTTGTAGGGCCGCCTCGGTGCTCAGCCCCGTGGGCTTGAAAGCAGCCAGCAGCCCCTCAGCCTGATCGAGCACATGTACCTCGTGCTCTCGGGACTCTCCGATTCCCGAGAGGGCTACTGGTAGTAAGCCTGAGCTCCGTGAGCTCTGTTGCCGTGCCCACTTCCTCCGTAGCCGACTAGATAGTTGCGCGATCGGCTGACCGCTTTGCTGCATGGCCGTGGCCACACCCCCCCACAAGATCCCATTCACTTCCAGGGGCAGCGCTTCCATCTCTAAAGCAAGGCTCAATGCTTGGCTCCATGCGCGAGCACGTATGCAAGAGCTGATGACACTGTGAAAGCATATATCATCTTTCTGCAGGTCTCGGGTGTCCATGTGTCGAAAGCACAAGAGTGCTGTCTCCCATTCTCTGGCCTTCTCACACGCACTGATCACCGTAGTGAAGCAGATCTTATCTGGCATTAATGCCGGCACTGGCGGATGAAAAAGGGTGTTGATAGCCATCTGCCACTGTTTGCCTTTCTCGCATGCACTGAGAAGAGTGCTAAACGTAACCACACTCGGTGGCACTGTGGACGTGCACATTTCTTGCAGCAGATGCAAAGACGAATTCCAAAGGCCAGCTGATGCACATGCACTGGAAGCGGCATTGTACGAGACGCAATCCGGCATCACATCATCCAGGCTCATTTCCTTCAAAAGCTGGAGTGCTACGGACCACTCGCCCCCTTTGGCACAAGCACTTATGGCGGCGTTGTACGTCACCTCGCTTGGGAGAACTTCCTCTTCCTTCATGCTGCTTAGAAGCGTCAATGCGATCTCCCACTTGCCTCGCCGCTCACATGCACTGATGACGCTGGTATAGTGGAAGCAGTTGATGTCCAGGCTGTGATGCTGCATGAAGCGAGTGACCTTCAAAGCCACATCCCAAAGACCGCGCTTGCCAAGTCCTGCTAAAACCGCAGTGGCTGCCCTCGGATTCCGTTCCCAGGAGGCCAGACCAGGCCAACAAGCGCTGAAAACCGCGGCTTGTGGAGGATGTGGTCCCAAGTCAAAAAGCGCCTTCAAGATGGCCTCAGCAGATCTTCCTCGACCCTTCCCCTTCTTACTTTTGTGACCTTTGCGAGGATCCAGGCGTCTGTCGTCAAGCTCTTCGCGAAGCCACGGCACGGCTCTCCGAGCAAGCACATCTTGTCGGACTTCCCGTTGGCGGCCGATGGCGTATCTTGGAGCGGGCGCAGCAACCGGTTGCAGCATGAACTTGGGCGCACTTTCGCGCATTCGGGCCGTGCTGCAGCACTGCTTCGAGTCGCAAGACTTAGACGTATGAGAGTCTCGGAGCACTGAATCGTGTGACCTCATGCTTTCACCTGAGCCCGTGGCCATATGCAAGAAGCTGTCCAAGCGCTCCACGAACGTACGGCTCTCTAGCCAAACATCAACGCAAAGCCTGCCGCTGTCGTCACGACATGCCCAGTCAAAAACCGTGCCCCCTGTGGACTCCAAGCTCCCAGCGTTTCTGGGATCGGACCTGGAGGCATAGGCCTGAGCTACTCACAGGCCCCGGCCTTTCTGGTGCGAGAAACAAAAAAAGCAGCACAAGATGCAAGCAGCACAAGAGCTGAGTGCGGAAGGTGTCCGGGGAGCCGGCAAGCTCAAATCCTCTCAATTTAGCAACTGCAAGTATTGCAACTACAACACATCCTGTTTAGCTGGTGCTTGGATCTACGAGCACACGTCCTCGTTGAAGGCGCAGCTGAGGCTTGCTGAGTATCTCCCATCGCTGGAAATGACTTTGCTGTACTTGAGCTCCTTGCAATTCAGGCTTCACCTGTCAGTCCCGTCCCATGGTGCGAAACAGGTCCAAGGCCTGCTGCGCTGTAGCGGGCTGGCTGTCTGACCACCCTGAGCTCGATCGCTAGGACGGAGTCCACTGAGCTCTTCAGGACAGGACCACATCAGGTGCTACGACCAGGGCTCACTGGTGCGCGCCCACCCGTCTGCAACATGATCCGGAAGCCGCTGGTCTCAAACCTCGAACTCTGTAGGCTGTAATTCAGCGCCACAGGAAAAACGTCGAGCTCCAAAAAGACTGAGAGTCCCACAGGCCTGGGGCTCCGAAACCACAGTTTTCAAACCTCGATCCATGCCGACGCCACCCAGAAACGAACACCTAGAACCCTAGACCCGAATCTCACACCCTCTCGGTTTAAACCCTAAGCCCTAAAACATTGAACCCCAAAGCTCCAAACGATCTCTGCCTGAACCCACAGCTTTTCTATTCTTGCATCAGAATCTGAGCCTCAGTGCTGCCCTCAAGCTTTAGGTCTTACAGGCCGTAGACTCTGAACCATTCATCGAGCCCTAAGCTACCTAACCCGTTTTGGAACGGCCGGGCTCTGAGTGTCGGCCAGCATTAGCAATTAAGGGCCTTCCGGAAGTCTCTAACAGGCTCTGCAACTCCAAGGCCGCATCTTCGCAACTACTGTGCAGCTGTGCTGAAAGAAGCCCAGCGGGGATTCTGCGATGGAGATCACGAGGGAGGCACTGAAGGATGCCAACATGGACTCGCAGGTTCGGCACACCTTGGGCCACGCAGTGCCAATTGGGGCTTCGAGGCGAATCTGAGATGCGTGCATGCTTTTTTTTAACATCGACACCCGCAACCCAAAAGCTGCTCTAGCGCAAGCTTGGCGGCCAGGACTTCTGGAGGCTGTAGTCCACAACAGAAGCCCCAAAAAGCTTGCAACCCTGGCCAGGGGCAGCACGGCGCTCTGGCCCCTGCTGCGCATGGTGAGTCCTGAGTTCGGCCTCAGACAGCGCGTAGCCAATGCTTGAATGAACTGGGCTCCCATGCAACCGTAAAGGGCTTTCTGCCAATTTTCTTCCAAGTTCAAGCAATCACGGTGCAAGTGACACTCCCAGATCTCCGCAGTATCCACACGGCCGGCAGTTACATCACAAAGCTTGGCCCTCGTGCAACCTACGCTCTGCAATGCTCATTAAAGACGGACAGCTGCAACTCACGGCTCTGGAGGATCAGGATCGTCGTAGAGTGACCTAGACGAACGCTTTGTCCAGCGTTCGCCGGCTTCGTCCAGGTCCTCAAGGAAGCGTTCAAGTTGCTACAAGCAGGCCACGGCATGTGGGAGATTGCTGTGGCCAAGGAGTCCTCCCCAATAGGCTCGAAGAACTTGGCAACCGCCAAGACCTAACCCGCACACAGAACTGAGTCAAAACCCGTCCGGCCTGCATCCGCCTACTGCCTACTACGCCCTGTCACTGAAACTTCCGACATCACACTGGATCAGTGCGCACACAAACGACATTTTGGCTGTCCAGCTCCGAGACTTGCAAGTTCCTGAAAGGCCATGGCCCACCGGTTCGGGCTCACCAAGCTGCCTCAGGCCGAACGCAGGCAGAGAGTTACATCCAGCCACAAGTCTTGGCAGCTCAGTCTGCGACCAAGGCAATGGCCCGCGAGTGCAATAAAGTGAAACTCTGGGGCTGCATCGGCACTAGAAGGCTTAATCAGGCTTCATGTCAATGTCCCCTTAATGCCATGACTGGGAGTCAAACTCTTTTGATGATAACCTCCGCCAGTTTTTGCCATGCCCGCGTCTGCCAGTTATTGCCGGCTGCTAACGTATGGCTTTACACGTGTAGCTGCCGATGCCCACCCCGCCCCGTTTACGTGCATGCATGTCGCAATTCTACGGTCTCCACGGGAACCGCGGGCGGTTTCGCCTGCGGCTCACGCGTTGCCTTTGGCCTGCCAAGTGAAGAGTCGCATCATAATGCGCAGTCAGCAGAGACTGACGTTGCGGTGCCTGAGAGCTGAAGAACTGCGCCGCGACTTTTTGAGCAGCAGTGGTGCTGTCTGTTGCTTCATTCAGCAAGCCTCAAGCATCAAACTAGCAAAAGCACTAGCATTCGGTCAATAAGATCCGACCTGTGACTTAGTATGCTGACACTGAAGCCCGTCTCCCAGCCAGGTTGCATTCCATGATTCGTCCGGGGCCAAACTGTGCCAAAGTCTGATCGTGCACCTTCACCAATCCCAACCATGCCCGTGCAGTACCAGAAGCTTCCCGAAGTACTTGCCAGCACTGCGTAACACAGCCAACTTCAAGCAGCTGCAGATAGCGGCAGTTTGGCAGAGGCATAACACTTGCACACAGCCCGGCTCTTGGGTCGAATCTCGGTGCCTGAGCATCGAAGGCCGAGTAGGCTTCGAGCTTCTCGTCGTCAGTGCTGCCTCGGCCGAAGTACTACTGCTATGGCTCTCACCCGACAACGGCTGTCGTAGAGCTATTTGTCGAGAACTGGCGCACTTAGTCAAAGGTGCAACACGACAGCAGGCAGCCATTCGACCCTGCGGATTTCAGCGCAAAGGCTGTGTCTTCAACTGCCGGCTAGCAGGCTTTGCTACTGACCAGGGAAAACCACAAGCCGATGGCAAACCCGTCATGTCTAACTGACAGGCGGGGCACAAAACGATGCGAAGGCCGCAGCTCCCAGCTTGACGTGCAGAATGCCTCAAAGCGACAGCGAGCGTGTCCAGCTGCGTAGCTGAACTGACCTATATCCACCCGCCGGCAGTTCTAGAGTGACCTCCGAAGTGCTGCGGTTCCAAACATTTCAGACTGCACTCATCCCCACCTGCCAGCGAAGAAACGGACTCGACGACAGAGAGCTGGTCTCGCACGCTGTTGGACTTCACCTCGTCAAGCGGGCGATGGCACGACCAAAGGACAGACCAAAGCATCGCTTTCAAGCCCAGTGGCAGAGCTTGTGGTTGGGAAGTTGGTCAACAGGAAGGTGCCCATAGGGTCGGCAGATTTGAGGAAGGCTTCCCTCCATATCTCGGCCTGTTGATTGTTCTTGGCTTCATAGCGTATCTGTGCGAGCACTACCCTGTTGGAAATAGAAGCTGGGCCCCGAACCCATACCTTCACGGGCAAGCTGTCCTTGTGGACAGTGGCAGGACAACTGCAGCAGTGTTGTTGGTGTGGATTCGGACAGGGTGTGGAATGTGCAGCCAAGTCTCGGGAGTTTCTGCTGTGAATGACGCCTGCGCTTCTGGCGAGGGCGCTTCAGCTTGGCAACGTCCTATGAAAAACTCCACCGAGCCTTGGCGATGGCATCCTCTACAGCTGGACTGTGGCCACTGCCTGGAACCCGACGGACCGCTCGGCGCTATGCACTGCCGGCGCGGATCGGCGAGTCACTGACAAAACCTGACGACCCCTGAAGAACACAGACAAATCGCCGGCCCAGGCTCTTTTGCAAATCGCCATCGCATCCAAAATGGTGTACTTGGATGGTAGGGCGTCCTTCACAAGACGTCAGACTCCAGAAAAAACTTGAAGACGCCCAGAGCTCCATGCAAGCGGGATGACCACAACACATCTGCGTATTGGACCCACTCGGTGCCAGCCTCTAAGCCACCAGCAGTGCTCATGGTGCAGATCGTCTCAGCCACGAGATTGCCAAAGTCTGACTCCGTGCCCGGTGACAGGATGACGTAAACTGTCCTTGTTCAGACACGAAGTGTGAATCATGCATGCGATGCCCACAAATACGTGCTGGTATCAGTGTTGTCTGGCTTTGCTGGCTTGCATGGACACTGCCACTCCAGATGTCAGATCATGCGGTATGTGTCGGCATACTTGGGCCTGTGTAAGAGCCGGTGAGTCATGTCTTGCAACTTGGCTTCGGCATCAGCTTCTGCTGAATCACGGCAGCGACGTCTGTGGGACTCTCCCGCATCTTTTTGTCAATCTCCAAATAGCTTCCTGGCACGGCTTATCAGCACTTCGTTTCCTGCGACTCCAAGTTCCGGAACACTCAGGGCATGCGGGTGAGTCCTGGACACAGCTCCTTGAACACCTGCAAGGATGAAAGCAGCAAACGTCTCTTCGCGGAGTCTTGGTCGTGTCACTGGGTGATAACACTGCCCCCCCCCCAGGGCCTAGCTCCTCTGAAACTCCGCAGTACGAATTGGTTGTGTTACATTCACGGACACACGCGGACACACGTGCCAAAAGCAAGCGAGAGCCCCGGCAGTCAACAGCCTGTTCCCCTGAACGGCCGCCTTCATGGTGCCTTCCATCGTGGCCCGTTGCTGTGCCATCTTCTCAGCGAGCTGCTCGCCATCAATCTCCTCGTCTTCGTGTAGACCTGCAGATCCAACTCTTGGTCAGGTGCTCAAAGCTTAATCATGGTCCGAGCTCTGGAGGCAAATGCTGATTTGCATCACTCATTCAGACGACAGGTTT